AACAAGCGAACAGAATTTAAGAAAAAAGAAAAAGGGAATGATATATTATTTAAATAGAACAAACCCTCAATCTGTGCTTTGTTTAGAACCGCTTGCTGCAAAAGGGAAAAAATACAACCAGTGCATATAGCTATGTGGGTCCAATATTCCTGGTGTGCTCAAAATGCAAGCTTGATATTCAGCCTCAGTTCAATTTCTTAACTACTATTCCTAAGCCATCCTAGGCTGATTCTTACCTTGGTTTCTTCTCCCTCCAGGTCAAGGGTTGTAGCAAAGACCCATTTGGGTGGACAGGGCAGCTCCAAAAACCTCTTCACCAAACCCAAACCGATCCCCCGATCGGATCCTGTCACCAGGATGCTGAAAACAGAGAAGTCATCTGCCTTTGCCATCTCTTCAGGAAATGCAGCTTCTTCTTCCAACCTGCTCAAATGTTTGTTTCAAATGCCTCTTCTCGTTGTGGGAGGAAACATTATAAGGGATGGGCAACACCTACCTTTAGATCTTCTGAGGAACTTCATCTACACAGTTCTGTGTGATGCCATTCAGATTGCAGGAATCCCCTGTAGTGTTCATGCAGCTAATTAATGAGGTGTTGCATGAGCATTTATACCATGGGGTTCTTGTGTATGTAAAACTGTCCAAATGTGAGTTTATCTAGGGTACCGGATATTGGGGGAAGGTGTCGAGATGGACCCTGACAAAGACAGGACCGTGCTAGAGTGGCAGGCATCACAGACCCGTCATCAGCTGCAGAGCTTCCTAGGGTTCAGAAACTTCTATTGGCAGTTCATCCCCTCATTCGCTAAGGTGGCCCTACCCTTAACAGATCTGCTCAGCACGAGACATACAGTGGGTAAACCATGTCCCGGTAAACCACTGACGTGGACTTTGGCTTGCCAGAGGGCCTTTGAGGACCTGAAGGCCTTCTTTGCACGGGAGCCGGTCCTACTACATCCCAATCCTGACCTGCCATTCATAGTACAGGCTGATGCAAGCGATGTCGTAGTTGGAGCAGTTCTGCTCCAGAAGAACGGGCAAGGAACACTACAGCCCTGTGCATACACCTCCCGTAAACTGACAGACACAGAACGGGCGTGGGTGATATGGTAGGAAGCGTTCGCCATACGGTGGTCACTGTCGATTTGGCGGCATTTTGTGGAGGAAGCCAAGGAACCGAGGTCTGGATGAACCATAAAAACCTTGAGGCCTTACAGACACCGCAGCGCCTATGACCGAAACATGTTCAATGGGCACAATACTTCCAACGTTTTTGCTTTTGGTTGAAATACGTGCTGGGGGTTAGGAACTTCTTGGCAGACGTGGTGTCACATATGCCCCAGTATAATAGCAGGCGGGAGGAGGAAGTACAGGCCAGTATGTCTCCGTTCCAGCAGTGCTAACTTCATTTGCTGTTTGCTGTGATAACGCATGCCAGAACATTCCGTGAATAAACCAACCACCTGTGAACTAAACGGCTTGTTTCTTGTTGGAGCCAGGGGTACGGTAAGGACATCTGACAAATGGCAACAGCTTTCTAAAAGAGTATTGAGATCAACAAGGCACCCACACCTTTTGTGCCTTTTCATCTCTGTTGGATTGCCCCATATAAAAATTAGCAATAGCGATAGCATTTAGACTTATATACAGCTTCATAGTGCTTTACATCCCTCTCTAAGCCATTTACAGAGTCAGCATCTTGCCCCCAAAAAACGTGGGTCCTCATTTTACTGACTTTGGAAGGATGGAAGGCTGAGTCAACCTTGAGCCCCGTCAGGGTCGAATTCCAAGCTGTGGGGAGAATTAGCCTGCAATAGTGCATTCTACCATTGTACCACCAATGTTTTTGTCTTAGACATCTTTTTGGATTTCTCAGGATTTGGATCAACTAATTTTCCTAGATTAGATATTTCAATTTGGCATTGACCAGGTATAAGCTACTTCTGACACTGATCTTGTGTTGTGTGTTATTTTCACACAGGTACTGTATCTTTCAAGAAGTCTTGAGATTCTGCTCTTGTCAGTACATCCTTCATTGCATTTTGCTTTATTAAATGTATTTGGCGCCCATCTCACCACAAGGCAATTCAGCATGTCGAGGTTTAGCCGTGTCTCTTTGAGGAAGAAGTGAAGCAACAACAATAGCAATATCTCTAGGAGGCAGAGGAACAACGCCCTTCTCAGCAAAGAATTGACCATCACTAGAACTCAGTAGCACGTTGCCTCCTGGGCAACTTTCCACCAAACAAGAGACATGAATCTAATCAGCAAGTGGTCCTAGCTCACAGTTATAAGGACTCTGTTTGCTTCCTTGGGACCAACAAGTTCAAACTGATCACAACCCTTTGGGATTTTATGAACCATCTCACTTCACTATGTCTATAACACCATGTGTTATAATGGGAAAAAAATGTCCAGGCAAAGAAAATAAACTAGATGCAATTTGAAAGAACACCCTGAGACAATTTTTCAGTAAGACTGGAGCTCAGGATTAAGTTTCCCTTAATGTCGTTTGTATCTATCTTATTGTATGTACACTACAAGCCACCCAGAGTTGGTTTAGAGTTGAGCAGCACCAAAATATGAAATCAATCAAACAAACAAACATCTGAGGCCCAGGGCTCAAGAGAGAGAGACCATCCAAGTGAGCATTAGGCATTTAAAGGGAGTTGCCTCTGAGTTTCACAAAATGCATTCAGTAATTGCCACTAATTAGTTTCCATACTCATTGTCCACTTGCACACAAAAAGCTCCACATGTTATGTCCTATTCACAAAAACCTTTTAAAATGTAATCAGAGAAATGTAAGCGTCTTCAAAATGCTCAAAGGAAAACATGAAAAAGAACTAAACCTAACTAAGGGCTATATGCAAGAAATAAGAAGCTATTAAATTTGCTTGTTTCCATGATTAGATAAACAGCTATAGAATCAGGTGTATAAAGGAATTTAAAGTCCTGGTGTTTGGCTTTAATATCCTATACATTTGTAGAAGGGGAATAAAGAAATAAACAACTGATTTATTAAGATCATAAAAAATGCTTTTTTCTATGCTGTGATAGAAATTGGATTCTGAAGACCATGAATGCTGGCAGGACAATGCTATCTATGGTGCTGGAGAAGATTCCTGCGAATCCCCAGGACTGCAAGGTGATCAAACCGGTCAGTCCTAGAGGAGATCAACCCCGACTGCTCTTTAGAAGGCCAGATCCTGAAGTTGAAACTCAAGTACTTTGGCCACCTAATGAGAAGAAAGGACTCACTGGAGAAGAGCCTAATGCTGGGAAAGATTGAGGGCAATAGAAGAAGGGGACGACAGAGAATGAGGTGGCTGGATGGAGTCACTGAAGCAAAGGCATGAGCTTAAATGGACTCCAGAAAATGGTAGAGGACAAGAAGGTCTGGAAGAACATTGTCCATGGGGTTGCGATGGGTTGGACACGACTTTGCAACTAACAACAACAACAATTCTTTTCAGCACTGAACTTCAATTCCACAGATATTTAAAACAATTCTTAAGTATTTAAAAACTTACCTGATTTTTTTTTTACGCTCATCTAATTTTGTCTGCCAAAAGCTTTAGATCTCTTCTGTGAAATATTGTCTTTGCCATCTACATTGCCCCAAGGGCATCTGAGGTGAATAGGGAAGGGCACATACATTTAAGCCATAACATCCAAACAAGCTGTTATTCAACATTATAAATAAAAAAGTGGAAATTGACGGCTTCACCCTCTCGGACCTTTAGAATTATGGTAGTCATGCTGGCTGCTGCAGTTAAACAACATCTGGTTGGGAGACCCCTATTCCCCATCCTTGTCATGGATTAATAACAAGCAGGATGATTAAAACGCTTGTGGAGAAGGAACAAGATTCCCAGCTAAGATAGGGTGCTGAGATCTAACAATGTATGCCTTTTGCTTTTAGTCCTTATGTTAACTGCTCCATTGGTTTTAAGATTAATGCCAATATTTACCTCAATTCTTATCTGACACCATAACCCCTTTAAAGACTGGAACTCACATGAGACCTAAATTCTCCCACGTATTGGGTTATCTTAAAAAATAAAGGAACAAATCCTTCAGTGGTTCCCAACCTTTTCTATACCCCGCGCCCCTAGAATGCTTCTGATATACTCTCACACCCCTTACAAAGGTTCAAGACAAATTATGCATATACACTATAATTCTGAAACTTCTAAACCCAAGTTTTCATATCCCCTGGAATATCGTCTCACACCCCTGGTTGGGAACTCTGCTTTAGATCAGGGGTATCAAACTGCCGGCCGGAGGGCTGGACGCATCACGCGGAAGCCGCACCCACCCATTGCCGGCAATGGCAAAACCATCCCGATACATTGAGCAACATCACGTGTTGTCGCAAGGTTGACATGTCTGCTTTAGATGTACAAACTGATGGCTATTCCACCTGGTAAAGCTTGCCTTCATCCTGTTTCCGATGATGACTTAATCCAGACTATCTCACTACAAACACTTGTACTATACTTCTCTACAATCAGATACAAATGACAAATGGGAATACAAATATGAACTAACCCAGGGGTAGGCAACCTTGGCTCTTTTATGACTCGTGGATTTCAACTCCCAGAATTCCTGAGCCAGCGTGGCTCAGCTTGGAAACCTCTCCCTTTCCCCTCAGCATGGCTGGCTCAGGAATTCTGGGAGTTGAAGTCCACGAGTCATCAAAGAGCCAAGGTGGCCTACCCGTGAACTAACCAATGCACACGTATGAACATACAGATGAGGCCAGGCGGTTTTGAACCAAGGCCGGTGAAGACATGTGTAGCTCAGGCACCACCAGCTAGCAATAAAACTCCTGACTTTCAACTCACCTCACAACTGTCTTGTTTAGCAACGGAAATGGTGGCCGCAACTGTGGGCAAGGACTACCCCATAGAACAAAAGTTCTTCCCTCAGTTAAGCAACACACACATACAAGCACCAGAATGGAGCACAGGCAAGAGAGACAGGACACGGGCAAGTGCACAGATGCATATTTTAATAAAAATAATTCTGTCAAAATACAACAGACTGTGGGGGTTTCTATATTTCCAGTACAATTTCTCTCACTCTTTTTTTGTTTGTTTTTTTGTCAGTTAAAATGTCCTCCTTTGGGAAGGTTTTCATGCTAGAGTTGGTTTAACTGAACTCACAAATACTAAGCAGAAACTGATCCAATGTGCGTAGCTTGGAAGGAGATCCGTCAAGTCCTCAAATCACAGGAAAATGAAAAGTTGAGATTGCGGAAGCCTGGTGGAACCCCACATTCTGCTTGGCCTGTTTGTTTGATAGGATACTTTTAAAAAAAAAAAATCCTTAACAGTTGGTATCATAAAGAAATCGTTGAAACGAAAAGGGTTTGAGATGCCATGCCAGAGCTGGTACCTGAGTTTGCAAACAAGCGAGAGGAAGAGAAAAATAAAAAACTCCGTGTTTCTTTTCTTTTTTTTTTTAATGTCAGATCCAAAATGTAATCCAATTAGGCCTGCCAGCAATCTTTCTTGCTAGTTCAAGATGACAGATGGCACCCAAATCTTACGCCTCCAGCCCAATTTTTTTTTAAAAGAAAAAAAACAACCCTCAAGTCCAAAGATTTGAACGAACTTATTCGATGGTGACCATTAACGTTCTTCTACATCTATTATACATCTCAAATATTCCCAAAACAAGTGCCCAAAACAACACTGGTAAATAAATCCACTGGATAAGAGGATTTGGCACATTTATTTGGTTACAGAATGCTGAGGACCATAATGGCGATAAATGAAGCACCAATTCTTGTTGACGTAACGGCTGTTCCTTGTTGCAAAAAGTGATGATTGACATTCAAGCTAGCCAGTTTGAATCATTGGTAGGTGACATTCCGGTACTAGAACTTTCTAATTTACAGCCAACAACTCCTGAAACTGGTTGCAAAAGCTACATGGAAGAAAAATGAGATGGTTCTTTGAACACCTGAAAGGCTCTGAAATTCCTCTCAATTAACAATCCTTCCTATTCTAATGCCCTCCAGAGACGTTGAACTATAATTAGCCATTGTTGTCAGTTGTGAAAGCACAATTGCAGATTATTCCACCGCTATAGTAGACGATAATCGACACTTGCATTTGGGATTTCCCAGTGTCCATTTTACAGACACCATGGGCAGCGATTTCTAGTCTAAAGTATGATCAACATGGCAAATGATCAGAAAAATAGTTGCCAGGCCTTCGTTACCGTTCTTCTGATTAGTGGTTGATAAAAACCTGGAATCAGATGGATTGTTTGCAAAAGGCTTCTGGCAGGGTGACCAAAATCAGCCAGATGGTGTCAAAAAGAAAATATTTTTTTTCTTTGAACTGCTTATCTATGTAAAATCTTTTAATAAAAACTATTTTTTAAAAAGGAAATATATCCTAAAATAGGTGCTAGATACAATCTCATTATCATTGGCAGAACCTAATAATCTCTTGTCAGGTTTCATCTTAAAATTGAGACTAAATGTAAACTGTGGCTTTCAGGCTAGACACTCCTCCCACCCCTTTTGCTGATCTAAGTTTGGAGAACTCCAATATTATGTGCTATTTTTGTGCCCATGAAAATGGTGAAAGGCTTTAACCGCAAACGCAATTTAAATCTTCTTCCCTTCAAAGGTTCCGTAGGATTTCAAACAATCCTTTCCCATAATATATGTACTGTGGTCTCTTTAAAGCAATTATAACTAGTATTCAAATATCTGATTATCTTAGATCACATTCTAAGTGACTCATAAACATCTCAACCAGGCATAGCGTTGACTCGAATACTTCCTAAATTAAATTTCACCTGCCCAGGACTGAGGCATCAAAATGTTGAGCCACCAAATGCAGATTGTCTTTGAGCAAAAGTTAAACCTGCTCTTTTACAAAATTGGCATTACCGCATCACTAACTAGCTTATCTGAGAAAAAAAAAAATCTTAGGAGTGTAAAAACTGCCATGAAAACGCTTGACTTTTAAGCAAAAGATGGCAAAGAAGCCAGAACTTGGAAAAAAGCAGCAGACAGCAAAGAACAACAGCAGCAACAACAACAAAAAAACTTCCTGAAGCAACTTGAAAAAGAGATGAGATGGAAACCAGAGAAAACAAAGCAAGCAGGAAAAAAAAATCTGCTTCCAAACAAGCAAGAGCTTGGTTTGCTGAAGCTCATCTTAAGATGGTGAACATTTAAAATCGGAATTCAAACGCTGGGAACTCTTATGAAGCCTAAAAGCAAATGCAGCAGGCTAGAGAGAGAGAGAGCTGGTGGTGATGCTGATGCAGACCTTTGCCATATAAGAAGTTACAAAAGATGGATGGTGGGCAAAACATTCCGCTTTTAAGTTGGCACTAATTATTTGGTGCTCCTGTAATTTTGTGAGTTGGTGTTATAATTACAAGTCCTTAAAAGGTGTAAGGCAAGGTTAAGATCCAATAACCGTAAATGTACAACTTTGTGACCATCTGAGCAAAAGGGATGCTGGATGGATATTTCTGCTTGTCAAAAGTGCGAACAAAAAAATAATAATTTCATTTTGACCTAATCAGCACAAGGTAGCCATAACAGCCAAACTATGCAATGTAATCAGAATCTGAAACTGCCTTTTCTATTTAGTCAATTCTTTAATGTGCCCATTTTTCTTTCAGTATCTGGCACTAAAATTCAGTCCTGATCTGCCAAGAAGGCAGTAGTGCTAGGTCTTCTGAACTTGGCATGTCTTACGTAGAAACCTGAAAGCCAAAGCTGGCCCCTGCTAAGCAGCCGCAGGACCCTCGCAGTAATCAGCGGAGGTTGCACCACCTTATTATTTCTCCAGGTTCCGCCTACCTGGTGATGCTTGCATAATATTCCAAATGTACTTCATCCGTGCATAGATGCATATTTTTTTTCATTACAGCTACAAGTCCTTAACTCCACCCAAAAGTCATTTCTATGCTACTGCAATTAAAGTTCACCCTCAATGGAAGCCTTTTCTTTATCAAATCAGAAACCTCTCTTTTGTGTTATCTTCTGCAAGTGCTCAGCTTTCATTAAAATGCCTTGCCTGCTGAGCTTCTGGATTTTAAAAAATTCTTCCCAATAGAAAAACTATTTTAAAAGCTCGGCAAAATATTGAAACATACTGGCAAGCCAATTAACTGTATTTCAAATGTTAACAAGCTTTTAGTACAGCAGGATTCCTCTGTTGTACTACACAAATATGTGGGTATAAGTCACTTGGGTAAATTAAATTAGACTGGCGTTTCCAACCTGTTATTCCAGCAGTATTTTGTAAGGATTCTTACAATATGTTAAGTCTGGAAAATGATTCCCAAATTTTCCCTTTCTCTTTCTTTCTTTCTTTCTTTCTTTCTTTCTTTCTTTCTTTCTTTCTTTCTTTCTTTCTTTCTTTTTAAAAAGGCTATTCCTTGGAGTAAAACTGTGTTTTTCTTTTTTTTTTTTAAAAAAAAAGAAAGAATATTGCCTTACGCCCTCTTTTCAAGTGGGGGTAAGCAGGATAAAAACGAGGCTTTTGTACTATTGTCCTATCAGTGTAACATCAAAGGCATGGAGGCAATGAAACGACGAAATAAAAAGTTGGCTTCACAAACTCAAAAGACTGGTCAGGGGGATTCTTGACATGTTGAAGACTCATCTTTTCATGGTTCACAACTGACCTGGAGAACGTACATCCACTCCATAAGGAAAGATCTTAGGGAGAAGCCTCTAGATTAAAAGGGAGGAAAGAAGGAAGAAAATGTTTGACTAATGCAGAGCTCCCATTTTCCGTTCCACCTCGATTCCATTCCAGGCAGCCGTTTGGCTACCAGGATTAGGAAGCTCTCTTCTCCTTCCTCTTTGAGACAAGTTTTAGATTGTGAGTTGCCTAAATGTGAGCAGACGTGACAAAGGAGAAGTCTCCTAGCATCAGCCTAGGATCAATTGCTCTGATGGAGGAGAAGGAAACCCTGTGTTCCTCCAGAGGTTGTCAAGCTCCGAGTAACCCAGTCGGCATGGCCAATCACCGGCAGTTTGGGAAGTTGTAGCTCAGCGACGAATTCCCACAGCGATGCCCTCGTGTCTGATTGCCGTACGAGCTCTTACTGCTTCTCCACAGAGTTTGGGGACATAACTCAGGTCACACCAGTTCTCTTTCCAAGCATTGCAGGATATCCTATTCAAGGGACAGTTGGGAACAGATCCTTTTATTGTTCCCAAGCTTAGCCCAGATTGGTTCCCAGGCTGCATCCGTAGGGTTTCTCAGGGCTGTGTGTCAGAGGCACAGAAAAAAGAAGATCAACTCTTTTTGTTTGGATCGCATGGCTAATATTCCAACAAGCACATTCAGACTCCTGGTTTTTTTATGAGGACCAGCAACAGTGAACAATACTGTCCAAAGTAGCACACGGGCCAGTTAAGTTTCTCCGAACGTAAAAATAAAGTTAAAACAAAAAAGCAAAACAGGCCGTCACCAACTCAGATACACTTTTTATCTCTAAATGAATTAGAAACCAGCTCAGCACAAACTCTCCAGGTATAAATACTGGGTGGCTCAGTCAGACAAATAAAATAACATAATAAAATAAAAGGTAAAATCCTAAAGTCAGAAGGCGCTACATCAGAAGGACCAGTGAGAAGGCCAAGTGCTGTGGGTGGGGCAGAGAAGGATGCGGCCGTGATGGGAGGGCGGGATGGGGCGGGGGGGGGGAACCCTGCGAGCAGTTTCCAGGGTGAGCAACGAAGAAGGCGCATCAAGGGTCCTCTCCTCCTCCTCCCCTCCCGCCTCAGTCAACGCTGTGTCCTTCTGCTGGGCAGCGGGTGGAGGGCAGGCGCAGGTGAGAAACCGCAAGGCAGGAAGAGGTGAAAGGGCAGCAACTGGAGGGGTCACTCTGCCTCACTCAGTGGCTAGTGCAAATAGTCGTCCACTCTGGCGAAGGAGCAGGAGCCCAGGCCCACGCGCGCCATGAGTCGCAAGCACTCCGAGGCCTGGCCCAGGGCGAGCAGCAGGGGGGGCTGCTTTGGCAGGTTCTGAGACTCTGAGGAGAGAAAGAGACCAGAGATGCACAAGGAACAGGTCAGGCAAAGAGGCCATGTCTTGCTCCCCTCCCCTCCTTCACCCACCCCCTGGCAGTCCTAACCATTGGCAGATAAATGTTTTGGGCTGACGGGCCCAGAGGGAATTTTGAAAGCATAGCCATTCTTGCAACTGGGCTGGTAGGCGGGGGGATGCATTTCCAAAATAGTCAAAACAGAGCCATCATTTACTAGCTGGCAAATTAGAGAAGTTGCAGGAGGAGAGTGGTGGCGAACCTATGGCACGGCTCAGCTTGGAAACCTCTCCCTTTCCCCTCAGCATGGCTGGCTCAGGAATTCTGGGAGTTGAAGTCCACGAGTCATTAAAGAGCCACGGTTGCCTACCCCCGTCTTAGTCCATAGTTGTTAACAAGATGGCAGTGATCCAGGACAAACGTTCAGGAGACCTTTCAAAAACAGCCCAGGATGGAAAGAAAATACTAACGAAAAAAAGCTTTCACAGGATAGCTCTCTCCTCACAGAGCAATCTATGAGAAAAACTCTTTTTCAGCAGCCACCCCCGTGCCGTCACAGAGTGTAACATTTGCTTTGGCTGACACGTGTCTGACTAACATGAAGCAGCAGCCAACTTAGGCACATATGCTTTTCATCCTCCGGTCTTGCCTCCTTTTTCATTCTCATAACTCACTCCCCTTTCTTTTCGTTACTTTCTGCTCTCTTCCCTACATACACACAACTACACTCTCTCTCCAGCACAGGTGATCTGCCAAAACCTGCAAAAAAAATGCAGCCAAGTTCCTGCCACATTAGCCCTCTCAAGCGGTGCATAGAGCGGAGTTGCAACCGGCTCCTTACCCAAAATAGCGCTATTGAGTGCAGCACACACCGGCTCCCTCTGGACCGGATCCAGCTGCTGACCGACTGGACAGTTCCAAGGATCAGAGTAGGCTAACAAGCTGAATGCATCCTGAAAGAGTAATAAGAGGTCTCAGCAGAGAGCAGCAAAAAGTACTTGGTTCCAGTGGCGTTAACTGTTCTGCAGGTGCCCTTCAGACTACAATTCCTAAGATTTATTTTTTTTAAAATGAAATTTTTATTAATAATACAAAATTAAAACACATTGGACATAGGTATGACGTCATTGGTTCCATACATCTTCCAACCTTTTACAATAGTATTAGTACTCATACAGACAAATAGTTCTTAAACTTTGCTCACTATTTATAATATACTATTAACACCTTTTCCCTTATTTCTATATATCTATTTATCTTTTAAATATACACTTGTCTATAATCTATATTTTATTCTAGCACTATACATTTATCTTGGCTACCCTCTTATTGTCTATCCAATCATAAAACTGTTCCCAGATTTTATAGTATTTGGTTTCACTTTTGTCCTTGAGTTCCCATGTAAGTCTATCCATTTCAGCGCAACTGAAAATTTTCAATAATATTTCCTCTTCGGTTGGAGTATCTTTCTCTTTCCATTTTTGAGCAAAGGCTATTCGTGCCGCTGTTATTATGCAGTAGTAAATAATTTGTGCCTTTCTTATATTTTCTTTCTATAATTCCCAATAAGAAAAATTCCGGTTTGGCTTCTACATCTATTTGCAAAATTTCTTCCAACCACTCCTTTAATAAGTTCCAAAATTTTTGTGCCTTTGGGCATCGCCACCACATGTGGTAGTAATTCCCAACGGTCTCTTCACACTTCCAGGATATCGAAATTCCCAAGACTTCAAGACCACTTGGACACAGTACCCTACCTTACCTTGAAGGCATGAGGTTGTCAAATGATACAGCAGAGAACCACATAAGGCTAGTAGGGCATTCCGAGAGCTGCATTCGTAAACTGGCCAAGGCCAATGTTTATTTTTTCAAGCCAGTTTTGAGTACTATTTTAAATATTAATAACACTTCTGGGGGAGGTTATATTTAAACTGGAGAGGGAGGATAATTTTTGATCACACTAACTCAACGAGATAAGCTGCAGTTTCCCCCCCCCCTTCAAAAGTACAGAATACTAATGCAATAGCTCCCTCTACTGACTAGTAGATGGAAAATAATGCAGAGGAGGAATGATCATCAGAGATTTTGTGTGTGTGTGTCAAAGGCCAAATCTATTTTATTACTGGGGAGGGGTTTAAATGATTTTTCCAAGGTCAGTGATGGTTTCCCAAGCTCTGAATGCCTTGGGACAATTTTTGCTGAATTCTATCTAACACATCAATAAAGGAAAATCGAGGACTAGCGCTGATGATGTTACCTAGTTGGGTAATGAAACGTCTGCAGGAAAACAAGCAAGTTAAGAGAGCACTAAGGACTGTAATGTCTTTTACTGTCTTCCTGGTTTCATCTTTTTAAACAAAAAGTGTTCTATTATCTGAGGGGCTTCCACAAAGAAGGGGGGGGGGGTTCAACCTATTCTCCAAAGCACCAGAAGACAAGAGAAGAAGCAATGGATGGAAAGTAATTAAGGAGAGAAGCAACCTTGGAACTAAGGAGAAATTTCCTGACAATGAGAACAATTAATCAGTGGAATGGTGTGCCTCCAGAAGTTGTGGATTCTCCATCACTGGGTTTTGTTTTTTTTTAAAGAAGAGATTGGCTAGCCATTTGTCTAGAACGGGATAGGGTCTCCTGCTTGAGCAGGAAGTTGGACTACATTAGAAGACCTCCAGATCCCCCCCAACTCTGTTATACTGTTAAATAAATGCCACAACCTTAATATTTTTTTTTTTTACACAGAAATAAAAGAGAACTCACTTTGCATGAAAGAAGAGCCGCTCTAGTGAAGAAAACAGCCAAGCTGCGTACCTGTAACATTTTTTTGTGGGCCATGTTCTTGCCGTAGTCTCTGCATAGCTGCTCGCTGAGGATCTGGAGCTCCCGCCCGAACTGGATCATCCGCTCGGTGGCAGCGTGGTTCCCTCCACAGAGTTGCCTCTGTGGGCAGCCGTCTTCTGGAGAAAAAGCGGAAACCGGAAGAATGGGTCACCAACCTGCATGGCATCAAAGCACCTGCCTTCTTCAGCCTGACTGACCCCCTCACCCCCCCCCCAAATTATTGGCCACGTAAGTCACTGGGTACAAAAGGTCTTCTAAAGAGACCTTGACTGGAAGCCCATCTTAATCTCTTAACCTTCCCCCCCTCCCAGCATTCCAGGATTGACTGCAAATCCATGAACATTGAATAGTACAGGCTTAAAATTCCGAAAGTTAAATTCTATACTGGATTGTAAATGAAAAACAAACAAACAACCCCTTGGTAAACAAGTATTGGGTCTACCCATTGTGTTAAACCAGGATGGATTCTATACAATTGTTGAATCAACTAGAATACGGGTGATTTGCAACCGATTCGTTTATTGACAGCTTGAAGTTACAACGGTGTAGGGAAAAAAAGTGACTTGCAATCAGCCCTCGCACTTATTACTGTTGTAGCGTCTCTATGATCACGCTTTCAAAATCTGGGCTTTTGGCAACCGGGATGTATTTACCATAGCTGCAGGGTCCTGGGGTCACGTGATCGCCCCCTTGCGACCTTCCCAACTGTCTTCCAACCAGCAAAGCCAATGGGGCAGGGGTCCTCAAACTTGGCCACTTTAAGACTTGTGGACTTCAACTCCCAGAATTCCTCAGCCAGCAAAGCTGGCTGAGGAATTCTGAGAGTTAAAGTCCACAAGTCTTAAAGTGGCCAAGTTTGAGGACCCCTGCAATGGGGGAAGCAGATTCACTGCATGATTCATTTAACTGCAGTGATTTGCTTAACAACCAGGGCAAAAAGGTTGCAAAAGGACTCCTCCTGTCACAACTGCCTTGCTTAGCCACGGAAACCTGGGACTCCATCGTGGCTTTAAGTCGAGGACCACCCGGTGTGGGAATGGATGGACTGGAAAAAGCTTCTGATGTGCAGTAATTTTCCATAAAGGAACCTCACCTACCCTGGATAATGAACCCTCAAAAAGTGCTTTTCCTCTGCCCGCAGGCGGGCCAGACCTACCCATGCTGGAATCATCAGTCTGTAGAATTTCTTCATGCTTGTAAGTGCCATTCATTATTCGGGTGGCTGAATTCTCCAGGATTCCGTTGGGATAGTGCTCCGCCTCCATCTCCATCTCGCTGTCACTTGAATGAAGACGGTAGAGGTCATGAGAGAGGGAGAGGGGGAGGAGAGAGAGAGAGAGAGAGAGAGAGAGAGAGAGAGAGAGAGAGAGAGAGAGAAAGAAAGAAAGAAAGAAAGAAAGAAAGAAAGAAAGAAAGAAAGAAAGAAAGAAAGAAAGAAAGAAAGGAAGAAAGAAAGGCCAAAAGAGGAAAAGGCCTGCCCTAAAAGGCACCTGTCTCACCTGGTTTCTTGGTTGCTAGTGCTGCTGTGATGCTGGGATTTGGTAGAATCTGTTGAGTTGGACTCCGAGTAGTTCACGGAGGAAGGGGATGATGAAGAGGAGGAGGAGGACGACGAACTCAGTGCAGGATATTTACTGTGGCTCTGCTTGCTTTTTATGGAGGTCACCCCATTGCTACAGCTTGGGCTGTCTGCTCCTGAAGACAGAGAGAGAAACCTAGCGCTTTTTAAAGGATTAGAACTTTAAGCCCCACTAAAGAGAAAGGTTTCCCCTATCCAGTTGTGTCCAACTCTAGGGGGCAGTGATCGTCATTTCCTAGTTGAGGGAGCCAGCATCGTCCAAAGACACTGCCGTGGTCATGCAGCCAGCGTGGCTATACACCAAAGGCGCATGGAACGCTGTTACCTTCCCACTGAAGAGGTACCAATTTATCTATTCGCATTTGCATGCCTTCAAACCACTAGATCCTCTTGATGCGGGTGAAGAAGGAGAGTGCAAAAGTTGGCTTGAAACTCAACATTAAGAAAACCAAGATCATGGCATCCGGCCCTCTCAATTCCTGGCAAACAGATGGGGAAGAAATGGAGGTAGCGACAGACTTTATTTTCCTGAGCTCCAAGATCACTGCAGATCGGGACTGCAGTCAAGAAATTAAAAGACATTTGCTCCTGGGGAAGAAAGCTTTGGCAAATCTAGACAGCAAACTAAAAAGCAGAGATGTCACCCTGCCAACAAAAGTACGTATAGTCAAGGCCATGGTTTTCCCAGTTGCAATATATGGCTGTGAAAGCTGGACCATAAGAAAGGCTGAGCGCCAAAGAATTGAGGCCTTTGAACTAGGGTGCTGGAGAAGACTCCTGCGAGTCCCCTGGACTGCAAGGCGTTCAAACCGGTCAGTCCTAGAAGAGATCAACCCCGACTGCTCTTTAGAAGGCCAGATCCTGAAGTTGAAACTTAAATACTTTGGTCACCTAATGAGAAGAAAGGACTCACTGGAGAAGAGCCTAATGCTGGGAAAGATTGAGGGCAATAGAAGAAGAGGACGACAGAGAATGAGGTGGCTGGATGGAGTCACTGAAGCAGTAGGCGTGAGCTTAAATGGACTTCAGAAGATGATAGAGGACAGGAAGGCCTGAAGGAACGTTGTCCATGAGGTCACGATGAGTCAGACACGGCTTCGCAACTAACAACATCAACAAACCGCTAGGTCGGCAGGAGCTGGGGCAAGTGACAATCTACTTCACTGAAGACATCTAAAATCAGGAGAGACATAACCAAACTTGACAGAGTCACTGCCAAAATCTTACTTAGCCTTAACTCTTGTTGAAAGAGCTTATGCCAGAAACATACTAAGTTACGGAACAGGTAAGCGGCGGGATCTTCATTACTAAAGGTACTGTGCAGAATTTAGAGAAGACGTTCTAACAGCAGCTTCCAGAAAGGTAACGAAAAGTAGACGCCACGTTAGCAGAAAGCCAAGGAGAGAAGCAAACGCCTACCAGTGACGTGGATGTGCAAATTATTGGAGCCATGTCGGGGGCTCAGATTGGGGGAATCCGGGTAGCTGTCTTGTGATTTGGGGCTGCGGGTACTGAAAAAGCGCACTTCACTGTCTGTTCCATTCACCATCTCCACAAACTGCCGGCACCTAGGATGTGCAGGGGGTAGGGGGTGGGAAAACAGGCGAATGAGAAATTAAGACAGAAAAAATAAACACAGTAGTACACTTAATAGTCTGCATTACTACATCTTGGAAATGGCATGAGGAGAAGCATCCAGAGATAAGAGCTTTTTTTTCTGGTTTGACTTTCTTGCAGCAAATGGCTCACAGCTCCAAAGAACTGGAACAAAAATGCACAATTCATCCACCGAAGTGGCGCACGATCAGATCCTTGCCATATCAATCGATCTAGGCTATTAAGTTGTGAATCCGAGGGCCTTCTTTTTAAATTTTCGGCAGCGTTCAGGAAAACATTCTGTAAGTGAAACCACTGACATCAGCCTATAGTCTTCGCTTGCTTGATTTTTTTTTAAAAAAAAAAAAGAGAGAAAAAAACGAGGTTATTCTGAGCTGTCTGAGAATGCATCCCAAATTCACTTTCCCTAAAAAGGGATTCTTCTTCAGCTGCCTTCCATCTGGAAAGATGTCAAGAGTTGCTATTTACAGCAGCACTCCGAAAGCAAGCTTCAATCGTTTGGGTCAGGTCAAATCGTATTTCTTAGAACGGGGGTTCTCAACCTTTTTAATGCCGCGACCCCCAACTGGTCGTAAGTCGAGGACTAAACCGGTCATAAGTCGAGGACTAAATCGATCATAAGTCGAGGACTACCCAACCGGTTGTAAGTCGAGGACTTTCCCTGCCCGGGAGCGCCACGCATGCGCGGTGCCGCCCCCTGCGCCGGCCAAGGCGTAGCTGGCAAGCGGCAGAGACGGAGCAGGCCGACCACCGGCTGGGCCACCAGCTGGCCCAGCCCAAGGGAGGTAAGGCACCCGCCAGAAAAGGGGAAGAAAAATGGCAGACAGCCTTGCTTGGCGACCCCCGTGAAATGGTCGGTCGACCCCAAATGGGTCGTGACCCATAGGTTGAGAACCGCTGTCTTAGAAGATTTATCACCTCCAGCTTTTTTCTGACAGGCTGCCCATCATTCAAAGACTATCCTATTTATTTATTCTGTATTATCCTGTCTTTATTATTTTGACAAATAACTCAGGGCAATGACACAGATCCAACACACTTTCTTCCTATTTTCCCTCCAACACCTGTGAGGTGGGTTGGGCTGGGACAGAGTGAATGGCCCAAAGTCACCCAGCTGGCCTTCATGGCTAAGAAGGGACTTGAACTCATGGTTTCCTGCTTTCTAGTCTGGCATCCTGACTACTAGACCAGAGATGATCAACCTTGGCAACTTTAAGATTTGTGGACTTGAATTCCCAGAATTCCCCGTGCTGGCTGGGAAATATTAGGAGTACAAGTCTTAAAGTTGCCAAGATTGGACACCCCCTCTACTAAATCAAACCGGCTCTTACATTCTGTTCTGCACCCCCAACCACTTGTTTATAGAGTAAAAAAGAGATTATAAGTCCGTCTACTGCTCCGTCACTAATTTTGCTTCCTGACTTTCTAAACATCGTAGTTTTTCGCACAAAGGCCTTTACACCACACTTACTTTAACATGAACAACAGGTTAGGATTGTGCTCTAGAAGGCCTGGATAGAGCTGCTCTGTTGCGTCAATGGCTTCACCTACTCTTCCTGCCAAAACCAGCTTTTGTATTCCTGGAGGTGAGAATAGAACAGTTAGGAGGCAAGCTGTTGTCTATCATCTCACATTAGACAGGCAATAAAACTGGATTTACCAATAGATAAATTATTCAGATGCATTTCCCCCCCCCCAGGTGTGAGAACATAAAAGAAGATATGTGTTAGCTGCATTTAAAAAAAAAAAGAACAAAATTAATTGTGACAAATTCTCATATCCTCAAAGCATTATTAGTTAATCTTTGGACAGCTGTAGTGCATCAACAACTTACGGCAGACTTTTTTTTCTGCAGTGACCCCACTCATGGCTGTCCTTCCACATGGAAGTCAGCCAACCATTACTCATCTCTTTTGGTATGGGATGAAACGGTATGATGTTCAATATGCTTTCAATTAGTCTTCAATTCTTCCCATCGTGGAAAGTAGAATGAACTGCTGGTTTGATATCAATGAAAACTGCAGATAAGGAGTCTTAAGCATTAACAGTATTTCTTAATAAGGTGCGGGAGCATCAGGTGAAGGTCCAACCTTTCCCTGGAGTCTGCTTGAGCTTCCAGTTAACAGATGTTCTTGCTACAACCAGTCCCTTAAACTGGCTTGGAGATGTTGGCATATAGCTTGCTAATTAGTATGAAGCAAATATATCGGCCCATTAACTGCCATGTCTCATTTTGCAATGGTGTTTATTTGGGAACACTCCAGTTTAATGGTTCCACAATTATTGATGTTGGGTCATAGATGTTTTTGCCTACTGTTCTATTTGATTTTATCTATATTTTACCCATCCATCTAATAACATGTCCTTAAAAAAACCAAGAAAACAGCTCCCACGGACTTATATTCTACGTGTTCCAATCAGCTTTCAAAAAACGCTTTTGCCAGTTTCCAGAACAATCAAATAGTTTGGTTTCATTTGGCAAACTGAAGGAAAGAAAAATGAGACACACAAAAAGAGAAAATATACCAGCCATAAAAGAGAACCAGAAGGAGCCACGGAGGACACTAAGGTTCTGCCTATTAATGCTGGGTTACAGAACTTAATTGCAGATATATCAATGTAACGATGCAGCTGAGGAGAGCTGCACAGTTCAGGACTTGGGGAAAGCTACAGCAGTAATACAAACAAGCTTACTTTGTCTGTTCTTTATGGAGATCTGTTCCTCCTGGACTGTACTTTCCGTCACACGGGCGAAGGCAGTTGCTGTAGCACAATATCCATGATGTACCAGATAGGAAGAGACCATGCTAGGAAATATAAAAAGCAGGCAACAGAAAGAGCATCAGTGTCAGTACAAATTCCACAAAAAGTGGGGAACAAGGCAGGGGGAAGGGGGGGGGAAACATCTCTAGGACAGCCACATTAACATTTTGCTTCCCAGTATCCAAATATGCCAAGAAAAGGTTGCTTGGGAAGAGAATAGAAAGCACTACCCATCTGACCTTCAGAAAAATCAGGAGATTGGATCTTTACATATTAAGTGTGAAGAACCTGTTCAACGTCCTTGATTTTAATTCCTCTTTGTGGGAATCCCAAAGCAATGGGGAGAAAGTACATTGGTGTGTTCAATCAACATCTTACAATAGAAGTGACCTGGAAACACGACTAGGCCTATGTATGGGAAGCTTTTTATACATCTGAAATGAAATATACTGCCTAATTTTTCAATACACCTGCAGTTGACTTCTAAAACCTGTTATTTTCTTTATTGAAAAAAAAAAGAGCTAAAAGTTGGCCTATTTGCTGAACCTGTCCTGCTTTTGTGTAGATGCTCTAGGAGTAGTAGAAACAACCAGCTCTGCATGTCTTCGGCTCAGGGTCGTACATATGTAGGATGTCTGATTTTCCTTCATTTCTTTTGTGATTTGGCGATATAAAAGAGCATGGCCTTTTGCAAATCCTTATCTTCCCTCCAACCCTTATTTCTCATTCCTCTACCTAACATAGAAGAAACAACGATCAAACCAGGCGCAAAGCAAGCAGCATATCTGCGCTATCAATCGCTACAAACAAGGTGCCAGGAAAGCAGCTAGTTCCTGCTCGTCCTAAGGCAGGGATAGGCAACCTTGGCTCTCTTAAGACTCGTGGACTTCCACTCCCAGAATTCCTGGGCCAGCATGGGGGAACTATGGCTCCCTCATGACTTGTGGACTTCAACTCCCAGAATTCCTGAGCCAGCATGGCTCAGCTTGGAAACCTCTCCCTTTCCCCTCAGCATGGCTGGCTCAGGAATTCTGGGAGTTGAAGTCCACGAGTCATAAAAGAGCCAAGGTTGCCTACCCCTGTCCTAAGGTAAAGCACCCCCTCTGCTCTTCAGGGACACAGAAAGAAGAATAAAACAAGAATGGTGGTGGGGGGGGATGTAATTTTACAGCAGAACGTTCTTGTGAATTTATCATAAGATTTATCTCAAAGGCAATCCAAACTGCCACTCACTTCTGTAACATGGCTTGCCATTCGCCTAGCCGGTCACCTATGGGAAACCTTTTAATCGTGCCCTGAATCTTTGCTCGCCACTCTCTCATATAGTCTTCAATGTCGAACACAAATGGCTGTTGCCCAAAGTTGGCATCCACAATCTCTCCGGGTGTCTGGAGCCCCACAGTGGGATATAGATTGGCCTGCCAAAAAAAGAAGCCCAAGTAAAAAAAAAAAAAAAAACAACGGGCTCTTTAGGAAAGAAAGCAGAGACATACATTGTTTTCTCCCCCCTTTTGAAAAGGGCAGCTAATGGAAGCCTGAACAAGGGGCTTCCGGGCCAGACCGACACGATGGGCAGACAATGCATCCCTGAAAAACATTTGGGAAGAGTCAGTGTAATACAGCTCTCAACTTGCAACCGTCCGTTTAGCGACTGTTCGAAGTTGCAATGGCACTAAAAAAAACCCGATAGGACCATCTCAACGTTTACGATTGTTGCAGCATCCCCTGATCAAAACTCGGACACTTGGCAACTGGCATGCATTTATGGTGGTTGCACTGTCCTGGGATCATGTGATCCCCTTTTGTGACCTTCTGACAAGAAAAGGCAATTGGGGAAAGCCAGATTCGCTTAACAACTGCGTTGCTAACCACTGCAATGATTCACTTCACAATTGCGGCAGCAAAGGTCATAAGAGGGGGCAAAATCCACTTAATTTTAGAAAGGCACATGGCTTAGGCACAATCACTTTGAAAGGCACATCGCTGAAGGAAACTGGAACGAAACGGCTCCCCAATGTGGAAAATCAGCGTGTCTTTCTCATCCAGTCAAAACAAAATTCATACTTCTATTTTGAGCTGCCAAACAATCTGCAACGGCGTAGCTGAGTCAAGGGGGCTGGCCTCTGTGCTTTGTATATTTGCAAAGCGTTAGGTTTTTTTTTTATTCTACCCAATTTCAGGGACCCATTCAGCACCCGAAGACATTTTGTGTCAGGTCCGGAGTATCCGATGCTGATGTACAAAAGAGAGCAAATGTTTCACACTGGAACATTATATGTGGTTGCTTTCTTTCTCTCGCATGCCTGGGTGATATATAAAAATATGCCAGCCATTCACGTGTGATTTCTAAAGATTAAAATCATTTATGCCTGCAGCCTGTGGTTAACTGACTCCAAACCAACAAAGATCTTTACTGGCATTCAAAAACAAAATTTTGAGTAAGCAACTTTCCAAGAATCATCTTCCTGAACCCTTTCAAAAATTACTCTCAGTTGGAACACAGGCTAAAAATTTGTGCTAGAATTTGTGCTAAAAATTTGGTAAAACCCTGAAAACTGCTAAATGAAAGGAATCCCGGTTTGATTCATTATGTTCTCCCCCCCCCCAGTAGAAATTAATCATTTCCATTCCATCAAGTGATTTAAGAAACTGTCTACACTCCAGATGTAGTTTATTGAGAATCTAGGAATTTCTTTCTTTTCGCTATGAATGTATTCTGCTTAACAGTTCACCAAGCTGCAGGTTCCTTTTAGTATATTTGAAGCAGCTAAAGCAGCAGCAGAAAAGGCTGATATTCAAGATCCCATGGTGCTTATTTTAGAGAAGCAGACCACTTCCTCGCCGAGTCGCTTCTCAAAAATAAAAACAAAAAATTCTTCTTGATATGGGGAAAAACTTTTGTTCACAATTTGCTCCCCTTTTCTGTAGTCAAAGCTTGTGGGAGAACTCGTTTCTCTAACAAAACCTGCCTTTCTGATTGCCGTGGGAGCTTCATCCAAGCTACTAGCCCGGGGGTCTTCAAATTTGGCCCTTTTGTGACTTGTGGACTTCAATTCCCAGAATTCCTCAGCCAGCGTGCACGCTGGCTGAGGAATTCTGAGAGTTGAAGTCCACAAGTCATAAAAGGGCCAAGTCTGAAGACTCCTGCACTAGTCTAATGCTAACCACTTCCAGATGGTACACAAGGAGAAGGCAAGTCCCAAGCACCTCCCTCCTTCCCACAGCCATGTTTTCAAATCTTTGGTTGAAATATAAAACAAAAGTTGTACTTACAGGAAGGTCTGTGAAGGCTATACCTGTGAAAGAGAAAATACTGAAGTCAAGACAAAGGATTTCGTCTCATTTCCTTAAGACCCGTATTGGTTGTATGCACCACATAAGCAACAAATATGTAATTGGTGGACAATTTTTTTAAAAATAACATCTCTAATCCATTCTCAGATTTATTGTGTATGGGTAGCCCTTGACGTACGGCTACAATTGAGCCCAACGTTTATATTGTTAAGTGAGAAATCTGTCACGTTTTGTCCCATTTTGTGAATTTTCTTGCTACATTTATTTAGCGGATCAACTGCAGTTGATAAGTTAGTAACCTGGTTGTTAAATGAATCCCGGCTTCCCCATTAACTTTGCTTGTCGGAAGGTCGCAAAAGGGGATCACATGACCCCGGGATGCTGCGACCATCGTAAATATGAACCGGTTGTCCAGCATCCGAATGTAAATCCCATGAGCGATGGTGAAATGGCCGTAAGTGTGAAAAATGGGCATAACTTACTTTTTTCAATGCTGTTGTAACTTTGAACAGTCACTAAACTATCTACTGTTAAGTTAAGGACGACCTGCATTCTTAGTCTGAAATCTGGGTCCATGCTCATCTAGGAATTGACCAGAGTAAATAGGTACTAAATTCTACGTCATCCTCCCATCTTCTATAAAGCAGTTACTGTAAACTGACCAATCATTTAGCTGAGATGGGAGCTGTAGAAATTTGATAAATAAAATGACAAAAATGTTTCAATAGGCAGAGCTACATTAACAGGCAGAGCTACATTAATTCTCAATATATTTAGCTCTTCTGAAAATATGGCTGAAGATCCGAGCTGGATTTTTTTTTTCCAGTGTGTTTTTCTGTATGGAAAGGCAAAGAAAAGGGGAGGGGAAGTAATTTAATACGTATTTCTTCATTTGTGCTTCAGAAGTAGCCTTTTCAGAACAATTCCTCTTGGGTTTTTTTTTATTTTATTTTAGTCTGTTGCTTTAAAATAATTTTACAGGAGTTAATGAAGCAACCCACTGCTAGGAGAAGGAACAAAGCGGCATGCAAAGGAAGTATCTTTGCTGACCCTACAACTGAGTAAATGCACCAAGTGAGTCAAAGGAAACAGAGGATGCATTCATACAGATGATTGAACACACCCAGGTTGTCATTTTTCCAGGAAGTAACACTCTGGTATATCTATGCTAACAGAATGAAGCATAAGAGTGCTGAATGTTGATCTGAACTTTAATCTTAATTCGAAGCAAGTAGTGCAAAAGCCTGGAGTATTTTTTTCTTCTTCTGCTATTTCAGTATCTTAAGACATTATGGAGGAGGAGAATTTAAAGCTAATTCTTAATCAGCAGTAGAAATTAGGGTTTCAACTTTAGCTTCTCAACCTTTGCCCTCTAAATTATCTTGCGGGAATAGGCTACGTATTTATCTCACCTACTAGGAGGAGAAAACGTAAAACCATGAAGATCTGTGCATTCAGGTAACCAAAAAAACAAAACCAAAAAAAAAAATGGATTTTGCCTGCTTGTAATCTCAGTGGTGTAAAGTCAGAATCAAAGGACAGAACGTGGCAAACATAACTTGGTGCGATGCATAGGAAGCAATTATTTCTGGGTACAAAGATAACACCCCGCCCTTTCCCAGCTGGAGATGTCATTTTTAAAAGGTGGCTGCATTCACCACTTCCTGCTGCAAGGAAGGCAAATTTACCTGCAAGACTCTTTGTGCATAGAGCATTGAAGCTTGTTATCTGGGGCTTTCTCTCCTCAGCCACAATCACTACGATGAAATTGTAAGCTGCAGGATAGGAACTGGATTTTTCTCCCCAAGTACTTTGCAAAATGCTGTGAACATGGACTACACTTATATTTACAGGTAGTCCTCAACTTACAATGATTCATTTAGGAACCCAAGTTACAACAACACTGGGAAAAAAAAGTGACTTATGACCATTTTTCACACTTACGACCGTGGCAGCCTCCCCACGTTCATGTAGTCAACATTCAGACGCTTGGCAACTGACTCACATTTATGACGGTCACAGTGCTCAGGGGTCATGTGATCCCCTTTGGCGACCTTCTGGCAAGCAAAGTCACTGGGGGAAGCCAAATTCGCTTCACAACTAAGTATGACTAACTTAACAACTGCAGTGATTCACTTAACAACGGTAGAAAGGTTGTAAAACGAGTTAAAATTCACTTAACAACTGTCTCAGATAGTAACAGAGCTTTGGGGCTCAATTGTAGTCGTAAGACCAAGAATTACCTGTATTAAATTTATAGGCTGCCCATCTCACTGCCCTGAATAATTTGGGTCCATCTGCACCAGCACAAGAATATATGACTGATGTTCAGGTTATTTTGAAAAGAGTTCATTCTACCGTACTTTTCTTTTCCTGCTGCAAACAGCTTCCTGAAAGCTTAACACACTTAAGTGGGATTTGCACTACTGCATAGGCTTTTTCTCATTGGTGATACAATTTGTTCCATCAGCAAGATAAATCTATCACCACCATAGGAGCAATGCACATCAATTTTAACACATATAGGACGGTCACGCTGCAGACTGGAAGTTCTTGGGCCGGGCCAGCTGGAACGTCTGGCAATTGTTACCGGAGAACGCCAGGTTGATGAAGACAGTTCTGTACATTTTATTTTTCTCTTCTTGGCCCAGCGAGAAAAATCCAATTATTGCTAAAGCAATTCTGAAGAGCAAAGCTGAAACATCTGGCATGCAGGATGCATGAAGCCAGAGTGCTGAAGCATCAGACTATAGATTCCTATGTTTGTTTGTTTTTTAAAAAAAACCCAGATACTCCTGAGAACACCACCAGTTTATCATGAAAACAAGAATTGTCTTCTAACTGTGTGTTCTCAACAAGTGGTTATTGAGGGTATTCTGCCTTTTGAACAGGGAAGAGCCACTTTGCTATAATTTTCAAAAGCTGCTTATAAACTACACATTTGTATTGCTCCAAAGCAATTTAAATCAATAGTATTCACCACATTTTGCTGCAGGGAATCCCATAAAGCAGACATGTCAAACTCGCGACATTGCAACGTATCAGGCTGGTTTTGCCATTGCCGGCAATGGGGTGGGCACGGCTTCCACGTGATGCGTCTGGCCCACAGGCCAGCAGTTTGACACCCCTGTCATAAATGTATCCAGGGCTCTGGTAAGTAGCACTTTCACTTACCCACCCCCCAATTTACAATAAGCAATTCTAAAGAAATAAAATAAAATCAGCAGACGTTTCCTTTGCTTTGTGCTAGAGTTATACTCGCCAAAAGCTTGCATAAAGCAAAACACTGAATGGTGGATAAAAGGGCAATTGCTGTCAAATTTTATAACTCAAATGCTTTGACAAATGTACTCATATATTTTAGAACCTTAGTTTTAAGTCCTACATTAGTCAAAGAGGTTTGCTTCTTTATCTCATGTTCCATGAAAGCATCTCTTCTATCTTTTCTAATGTTAGAGGGGTCGTTTTCTGATGGGGAAAGGAGACTGGATAAGATACTGATGGCTATTTTAACTCCAAATGAATTGGAGTACCTACTGCACACATAAAAGTAAGTGGGAGATGGGCCACACAACAGAAAAAGTCATATAATGTGATGGTAAATGCATGAGAAAGGAGCTTTGGTAAGAAAATGTTCAAGCAGTTTTGGGGGGAAAATAATCCAGATTTCTATTATTGATTATGCTGGCATAAGTTGCATAGTAGCATTTTTTTTCCAACATACAATGAATTTTATAACAAAAAAGAGCAATTGTATCATAGTGAATTATGTAAAGCAAGGGAAACTTGTACTTTCTCTGATAAAAAAAAAACCCTATAAACCTGAATTGGAAGTTGATAAAAAAGACTACAACCTACTACTTGATAATATAGGAAAATGTGGGTTAAACAGCATCACCACCGTAGCTGGCTGACCGGCCGTACTCAGCATGTGATCCTCAATGGAACTCAATGGAAGGAATTATATAGTGGGGTGCCCCAAGGCTCTGTTTTAAGCCCAGCACTCTTCAACACCTTCATCAACAATTTGGACGAGGGGATAGATGGGGAACTCATCAAATCTGCAGACCTCACCAAGCTGGCAGGAATAGCCAATACTCCAGAAGACAGGCTTAAGATACAGGAGGATCTGAACAGACTTGAACATTGGGCGCTATCTAACAAAATGAAATTCAATGGTGAAAAAAGTAAGGTTCTATATTTAGGCAAGAAAAATCAAATACACAGATATGGTATATAGGTGGTACCTGGCTCAATAGTAGCAACTGCAAGAGGGAACTTGGAGTCCTACTGGACAATCACTTAAATATAAACCAACAGTGTGCTGCAGCTGCCAAAAAAAGCCAACACAGTTCTAGGCTGCATTAACAGAGGGATAGAATCAAAATCACGTGAAGTGTTAATACCACTTAGTATTAATGCCTTGGTAAGACCAACTTGGAATAACTTCATCCAGTTTTGGTCGCCACAATGTAAATAAGATGTTGAAACTTTAAAAAAAGAGTGCAAAGAAGAGCAATAAAGATGATCAGGGGACTGGAGGCTAAAATATATAAAGAACGGTTACTGGACTTGGGTATGTCTAGTTTAATGAAGACAAGGATCAGGGGTGACATGATAGCAGTGTTCCCATATCTCAAGCTATTCTCAAAAGCACCTGAAGGCAGGACGAGAAGCAATGGATGGAAACTAATCAAGGAGAGAAGCAACCTAGAACTAATGACAGTTAAAACAATCAGTGGAACAACTCGCCTCCAGAAGTTGTGAATGCTCCAACACTGGAAGCTTTAAGAAGAGATTGGACAATCATTTGTTTGAAATGGTATAGGGCAGTGGTTCTCAACCTGTATGTTGGGACCCCACTTGGGGTCGAACGACCATTTCACGGGGGTCGCCAAACAACGCAGTCCACCATTTTTTTCCCCTTTTCTTTAGCTGTGCTCCTCCCTTTTATTCTATTGGCTTTTGAAAGCCAATAGAATAGACTCTCTTGAATAGAGTCTAATTCTATTGGCTTTCAAAAGCCAATAGGCATTGTCCAGGCTGTCTCTGCCCTGCTGAGCCCGCCAAAAGTCCCATTCTGCAAACGGTGCTGCACCAGTTGAGTAGTCCTCGACTTACGACCAGTTGGGGGGGTCGCGGCATTAAAAAGGTTGAGAACCACTGGTATAGGGTTTCCTGCCTGAACAGGGGTTGGACTAGAAGACCTCACAGGTCTCTGCCAATTCTGTTATTCTGTTAATTCTGTTCTGACTATACGATCAATCACTTTGTTCTTTTGAATGGAACCCAATTCTGACAGGGAACCTATCAACACATCAACATTTCAAAAGAGGCTAGACAAAACTGGACCAAGTATTCCATCTGCTTACCTAAACTGTGCCCATTCTTTGTGTAGAAGCAGGTGTTGTTGATGAGGTTCACACAGCAGCCAATTACATCGCCAGTAGTGAAAGTGGGGCCGTAGGGCTGCCCTGTCCCTGATGAGCAGAAGGAGTGTCCATCATCGCCATGATAGCCATAGGAATGCTTATCCCAACCTAAACAAAAGAGAAAAAAAAAAGAATAAACAAAGAGCCCATGTTTAGAAAGTAACATGTTTGACGTTGGGAAATAAGAGATTCATAGGTGACATCACCAGGAAATGTACCAGCATTTGTATTAGTCATGAAAGAGGATTCCAGTATGTGCAAAACATTCTTCATAGAATGTTCTGACTCCTAAGGGTTGGAACTCAAAACCAAATACTCAGAACATGGCCCTTTTCAAGGCTGAACCACTCCCACAGTGCTTAGAAAAGCTATTTAGGAGTCAGAATGTTCTGTGAAGATGTTTAGAAGATAATTAGGGGGGGAAAGTGATTGTGATATATAAGCTGTCCTATTCCCAACACACAGAAGACAGAAAATAGAGAACTGTTTATCATGGTGAAATAAGACTTTAGCGACTAAAACTATGGATATTTTTTTTTCTAAACTGTTACAAGTAGTTCACGACAAACAACATTTTGTTTAGTGACTGTCAAGGAGAGAAGCAACCTGGAACTAAGGAGAAACTTCCTGACAGTTAGAACAATTAACCAGTGGAACAACCTGCCTCCAGAAGCAGTAAATGCTCCAACACTGGAAGTTTTTAAGAAGAGACTGGACAGCCATTTGTCCGAAATGGTGTAGGGTTTCCTGCCTGAGCAGGGGGTTGGACTAGATGACCTCCAAGGTCCCTTCCAACTTTACTACTATTACTATTACCCATGCGCTCGCTGGCCTCTGTGTGCAGGGGCTGATGGTGTCAGGCAGCAGCCACCCCGGCCCCTGCCTCACCTTGCCCTGTGACAATGGCACCCCTGCCCTGCCTCGCCTTGCCTTGCTTCACCCAGCAGGACGAGCCTTCTGCCCAACGCCCCACCTGCCAGAGACCCCCTGGATCTCTCCCCAACCCTGCCCGGCCCCCACAGGTATCCCTCCCATGAGCAACATCGAGGTGATCACACCCACCTTGGCCACACCCACCCAATCTACCATGACCACCGCAGCCACACCCACCCAGTGGGCCACGCCCACCTGGCACCCGGCGATAAATAAGTGGCTTTGGGTTGCAGTTTGGACACTCGGTCTCTAAAAGGTTCGCCATCGCTGGCCTATATAGTATTTTTGGATCTGGGCTAAAGAAGGCCTCTTTGTTTATTCTGAAGAATCCTAGTCACAGAATGAGCTTTTTGTGTGGCTTCTACGGATTTATGTTTAGCCACATACTGAAGACATTGTTTTTCTCATTCTCTTTGAACATAAACCAGAGTTTCCAGTCAAGGAAGTATTGAAGCATCATGTTGCACAATCCACAATCAAGTAATCATAGACTAAAATATATTCTGCTGTGCCACAAGCCGTCCCTGGCACGGGAGCCGGATGCTCAGGATAAAGTCCTAGTACCTTCAAGCCAAAAATACTAGGACCTTGCCTAAGCCCAAAAGCTGGACAAATAAAAATTAGATTCAAGTGGTTTAAGGCAGGGCTTTTCAACTTTTCACCCATTGTGCCACTTTTAGGATATGGCAACATCCGAGTACCACCAGTCGCCTAGCAAGGGGTCAAAAACATGATGACCAAAAAAAAAAAAAAAGGAAAAAAGTGATAAAGTACAGGTAGTCCTCGACTTACAACAGTTCACTTAGTGACTGTTCGAAGTTACAATGGCACTGAAAAAAGTGCCCCCCAAGCCACAGCCGAGCAAGACACCTGCCTGCCCACCCAGCGGCGCTCTTCCTCCTGTCCGAGGTTTCCATTGTTGTGAGCATTTCTGTTGAAGATTGGCAGCAGGGGTGGGGTGGGGGGGTGTTTGGTTTTTATTCCCCCCCCCCCATCTGCTGGGTGGTTGCAGCAGGTTTTGGTCACTTCACATGACCCTGGGACACTGTGACCGTCATAAACATGAATCAGTTGCCAAGCATCTGAATGTAAATCACAAGACCCTGGAGAGGCTGCAACATTTCAGCTGATCGGTGTTTGTTCAGGGCTCAGCAGAAGCGCCAGGATCAGCGCCAAGCTCCAGCTGGAGCCTGGTGCTGATCCTGGTGCTTCCACTGAGCCCTGACAGCCCTGAAGAAGCGCCGATCAGCTGGAAAGCGGTACTGATCCTGGCGCTTCCGCTGAGCCCTGACAGCCCTACAGCTCCAGCCATCTCTCGCTCAGGCTTGTGCGGTGCTGCCAACGGTTCAGATCATTCCCCTCCCCCGCTACCACTTTTCTAGGATGGCCGCGTACCACCTGCCAGGTGCCAAAGTACCACAGGTGGTACCCGTACCACTGGTTGAAAAGCCCCGTTTTAAGGTCCAGATTGATTTAGCCATAGTTAAGATCTATGAAACACACAGAATGAAATTTGACAATATGGTAACTCTCTTCCACTTCATAAATATCTAGTTTCAAAGCAGTCCTATAATCACGTTATGCTAGAATTAATTGCTTGCTAGCAGGAGCAGTTTTTCTTCTCACTGCTACAAAAGGAACGCCGAAGGTTAAAATATCACGGAGATTAAACTACATTCAAACATCCAGGATGGAGCACATAAAAATATACAGTACGCTCTTGCTTGTGATCTGTCAGGTTGCTCCAATTACTGTCAACACCCTTATCTGAAATGACAGTGACATTCAGCTACTCTAAAGGGCTCCACCTGAAAACATCTTATATTTAGTTCCAAATTAAAACAGAGACAGGGTGACCTACTTGATCCTTACACACCCAAACTCCTAATGATCTGTTTAGGAATGCTTGTACATACATCTAACTTGTAAAACAGTGATTTGGGGAATAGACACCCAGATGACAACCTAGCACTGGAATCCCCAGCATTTTCCAGGATACGTTTTGCCCTTTTGGAGCCCTCTTCAGTCATCTGCTATGGCTGACTTTCAGTTTCGCACCAAGTTAAGCACCAGAAAAAAACAGACAATTAAATTGTAACTAAAAACTTTAGAGGCAAGGTACCTGCCAAGCCTTATTCACAATAGTGACTGCTTTATGTCAACAAAAGGCTGTAAGGGAGGTGTTTATTGATCATGAAGTTTCAACTTTGATAGGAAAAGAAACGGATGTGCAAATGGCTGAGCGGTTTTTCCAAAGGATTTAAACTTGCCAAGTGCAATATAAACAGTACATTTTAGTAAGAATTCCTTAAGCACAAAAAAAAATCTAAGGGAAACTCTAAAAATTGAGAAACCTGAAAAAAAAAGAAGTATCAAGTTTATACATCAGAAAACTAGAGGTTCTCTTTTGCAACCACAACTGGGAGTGGCAACTCAGTCGTTAAGTGAAGCAGTTGCTAAATAAAACTGACTACCATACTCCAGCTTGCCTTTGCTTTACACACTTGTGAAAATCACAAAATGCGAGGAAGGAAATTTACTTTTTCATCACCATCAATATGAACAGTCACTAAACGAGGACTACTATATTACATTATTCACAGACAGTCTATCATAGAACCATGAAAAGTATGAGTTTTCATCATGCCAGGCATGATAAGACATGGTTTACAAACCCACACAAAAGGCATACTTGGCAGGCTATCGAAAACACCCCTGCCTCTTCTTAATATATGACAATTGTTAGGATAAATTTTGCTGCCATCATTGGTTTCTTTCCCACGAAGCGTCTTAGATTAGATCACCAATTGCTTTATATTTGGGGAACAAGGTTTCCAAATTACAGTAGAACTCAATTTTGTGGACTTGCGTTCAGCTATCTTCGGATGCAACGTACATAACTTGGGACTTCACCCCCCCCTCCCAAATAATACACAAAGTGCACTGTTTCCAAAGCAAGACAACAGAGTGAATTTATGCCATGCAAATGATGTCAAAACAGAGGAAATGACGTGCGATAATGCAAACAACATAGCTTGATACAAATGATGCCAATCGTGTACATTCAAACTGAATGGACATTTGGCTTTAACAGAATCTGTTAAAAACTGATCTATTTACAGATCTTAATCTCCACAAAGACCACAGGTGCCCAAAACAGTAACTGGGGTAACTGTTTTTTCATCAGAGTTGCTGGGGGTATATCAACACCTTTTTCCGAATCAGCTTAAACGGGCATATAGAACAGTAGCCTTATTTGTGTTCTGCAAACAGTGGCATTCAACATCTGTCCTTTCTAGTGATGTGTTGTCAGGAAGATGTTACTGGAAAAGCCTGATAGCCCAACTATCTGAACAAATGAATGGCCATCATGTCAGAAGCTGCAACCAAATCCATTTCTCGTAGCCAGCCTCAAAAGATATTCAACTCCAAAGATGCCCTCAAAGGCCTGCATTGAGCACCCGTCACATGGGCATCTCTTAATAGTGTTAGCAGACTCTCACCTGATGCTGTCAATTACATGGCTTCTTGCAACCAAGCATGTGCAATTTTAGATTAAGAAAGAAGCTGCCATTAAGGACTAATTATTCGTTAGCGCGTGAGGCAGATGCCAGGATTTAAACGTAGAGCCACATGTTGAAATAGAAGAATCCAAAATTAAGTCACAGGGGTAAAAAAAATTAGACAGGTTTAAACAGAATTTTTTTTTTTTAAAAAAAGAAAGAAATCTAAATATCTAAAGAGTGTTGAACTGAACTGCCAGCCTGTTCTGCGAACCTTTTCAACCTTATTTTGGCAATGAAAATATGCTTTTGTAGTAATTTCAGAATGCTTACAAATGTCAAGAGGTTTTTCATAACGCCAGATGCCATTTCTGTTGCCAAAGGTTTCCTAATGCTGGGACAAGCATCCAAATATACATCATTTCCTATGGGATATGCATTTTGCTGAGGAGGCTCGATGCCTGTATTGGCCCAGCTGAGAGATAAATTCCTCTACTCTGGAGTTTCACGCCCAAATGTGGGAAAATGTAATAGGGAGGCTGGGCAGGTGCCAAACAAGAAACTATAAGACTAGGAAATCTTCCGAAAATTTAGGGTAGTGTTATAGTACCATCTGCTTCCAATTTACAGTAGCAAAGCTGCTTTTCCATGAGACTAAAAGCAGAAGGAGCCAAGAGAAGCAGAAGTATTCCATAGCTAAAAAAAACCCAACAGATTTAGGATTCTCCAAACAGCTGCTTGCTAGATCCTCATTATTTAAAACCTTGCCCATCTTAGGCAGTTGTTGAAGAAATGGCATCTCAGTTTGGCAATTTCCCTCTTTCTTTATTACGCTTTCCCTTATTTTGGATTGTAAAGCAAGGGGATTATCTTTTTCTTAGGGATCTTGAAGCTGCTTTCAAAGCTTTCTAACTAAAGAGAAGGGTAACATTCCTTGAAAATAAAAGAATAGAGAGAAAAGCTTGTGTTGGCACCAACGTTTTCCATTTTAATTATGTTAGAAAAACAGCCAATCTAATAGAGGTGCCATCAATAAAGAGCACAGATGGTAGTTCTATAAATATGAGCATCTAGTTTAATCCAAGCGTCCTAATTCATTGTGGGAAATCTGGTGACCAAGAATTGCATCCAATCTTTGAATCCATTTTTTATAGGCCTAGAACAGGGGTGTCAAACTGCCGGCCTATGGGCCGGATGCATCATAACAAAACCGTGCCCACCCCATTGCTGGCAATGGCAAAAAAGTCACGATACGTCGCGACACGTCACATGATGTTGTGAGTTTGACACCCCTGGCCTAGAGCCTGAAAACTATTAGCCCTTTTTAGGGCTAAAAAGACCTAAATCCGGACTATTTGCAGCCATCTAGTGACTGTCTGGACTTTGCAAAAATCCAGAAAATCTCTAGATAGCTGCAAACAGCCATTGGTCCAGGTTTTTTGAAAGCCAGATCTAGTCATTTTATTTGCAAACTGCATGTATTTAAATAAAAACAAAAAATAGGAAAAGAAAAATAATGCAATCTACATATATATAAAAGTGTCATCATTATATTAACACGCTTACAAGCTTTTACAATACCAGCTTTAGGAAAGAATGACCACGTTTCATTATAACCGTCCATGCACAATCTATAACTTCAAGAAAGTTTTATCACTTTAAAAATTCTCCTATTCCCCACAACCCAATAAAAACTGGAACCTCTCAGCTGTCACATACCCCCCCTGCCCACTTTGCATTATTACCTCATCCACTGCGGCCCACAAAAAAAAGAATTATAAACTAAGATTCTGAACAAAGGGTTATCCGGTTTTGCCCCATCTAAAAAAGGTATAAAATCACAAAAAAGAAATCTTTACATTTAGCAATAAGAAATTCAAAGCTGAATGTGCAGAAATGAAAACAGCAATGCTGGGGGAGGGGAAAGCACAGAAACAAAAGATTGAAGAACAGATGATGGAAGTCAAGAAAAAGAAAAAAATTGAGCTGCTTGGCACATTCAGCTTCACCTATTTTTGGAACAAACTCCCAGAGCCACGCGGGCGGCAAAGTAATAACTTTACAAATATAGGACGGTCAAATCATATCTAGCCACAGAAACAAAGCTTTGGTTCAAGTGATTATAGGAAAGCTGTGTTTATCCTTGATGGCAAAAAAAAAAAAAAAAAGTACTAGGGCATCTTTTTCCAACTAATGAGTGATATTAAAGCATAAGCTTTCATAAACTGTAGCTGATTTCATCAGATGCACAGAGTGTGACTAGACCAGTTTTTCCTCAGGTTTGCTTGAAGATGTGCGGACTTCAATCCCCAGAATTCCCCATGGCTGGCAGGGGAGTTTTGGGAGGTGAAGTCCACATATCTGCCAAGGTTGAAAAACACAGGGCTAGACTTAAGAGAGGATTTAAATTGGGGTGGAGGGTGGGCAAAGGAAGAAGACAGGTTGGTTATGCGGATTAACATGTAAGACATTACGAATTCCCATCAATTATCGATTGTAATGTGTCCGAAACCTGCTGTTTTTGCCTGAGACTGCCTTCAATCTTTTGATATATAAGATTTCAAGAATTTTTCACTTGAGGTTGCTTTTTAAGTAATCACTTTGAGGTCTCCTAAAGAGTTCCTGGGAGACTGAAATACTTTGATATCGAGTCCTGATGCCAAATTCATTGTTATGCCTTTTAATACAATTTGTTACATTAAACCAATTATTAAATTGTATTTCAACTACCGTATTTTCCGGCGTATAAGACGACTTTCTAAGGTGTGGAAATTGGCGTCGAAGTCGGGGGATCGTCTTATACGTCAAGTCATCTTATACGCCGCAAGTAACGGTAGTTTCCGGCGTATAAGATGACTTTCTAGGCATGGAAATCGGCGTCGAAGTCGGGGGTCGTCCTATACGCCGGGTCGCCTTATACACTGGAAAATACGGTATATGGAAATATAGATTCCTCCTATTTTTGCAATTCAAGCAATGTTCTCCCCAAAAAAGTCTGCCCATGGATTCCAGGGGTAGGTTTTTTTCTTTTCTTTCTGGATTGTAGAAATCCAGTCAACAGCTCAGGAGCAAACACAAATAGTTGTTAGCAGTGACTCACCAGGAAGTCTGTTCATGTTGACACCTTGGGCAGAGAGTCCTATTCCCATGTACCTTCAAACAAACAAAAATTTATTAGTTCAGCAAATGAGAGCATTTCCAAACAAGGTAACAACCAGGCCTTTTCCCCTACTAGAAATAGAGCCCATGTGGGAAGAAGTTAAAGTTGTCGTTCAGTGAAGACTGTCATCGAATTCTTTCTCAAGTTATTCACCAAATATCCATCTAACAAGGATAACAATAGTTGCTTGTAATCAAGCCCTCTTTGTATGCTTAAACATTTCCCTTCAGAGGAAAGCTTATTATCTCTGATACAAATATACTATGCCTCACTAAAACGTACCAGAAAATAGCAAAATGATTTTGGTCAACAACTGTAAAATAATGCTTAAGAATTTTTCAGATGCAAAGTTTGGAGATGCAAAGTAGTTTAAGCCTATTTGTCTTTATTACAAGTCTGCTTCTTTGCCCCAAACCAGAATTAACATGCAGGAAAAGGAACAACTCTTGATATAGCATAGTGTGCACACACTGCATCATCAGCTGCACGTGAAATATTTCCTCCTTCAGTGACTAAGTAGAATATATTATCTATTAGAGATAATTCAAAGGAGTTATCTTCTATTGGCAGAAGCAGTTCCTCTTTACAACTGCTTTACAAGAGTCAGGCAATTTTGAATGTTTACAAATTGTAAAGCCTTTCATGTTAACTGAATATGAAGGAAATATATTCAATTGGAATTTTTCTTGACCTTATTAAGTTTGGAGGTTTCTGTTCACTAGGCTTCAGAAGCATTTATTTGCTGGCACGCTGAAGGTAAACTCCTCATTCAGAACAAACAGGTTTTTCCAAAGACGATCTAATCGCCAATTTAATTATTCTGTTCTGTCTCAGAACAATGCCCGTCTGGCAAATCCTGTCTTCTTGGGTGCACAGAATGCCCTGATGTTGCTGAATTACAACGCTCAGGGGCCCCAGATAGCAAGACAAGAGGTTAAGGATAGTGCTAAATGAACAGATCCCGTTCTTCAGCTCACCTATTTCCAAGCTTTTCTCTGTATGGTGCCTAATCCAACCTATGTACTCTCCAGATGTATTGACTTGAACTCCCAGAATGCTCAGCAACTGTCTATTTGAGGAATTCTGGAAATCAAAGTTCATCCATCTGTCTGGAGGGTCCCAGTTCAGATGGACTGGCTGTAAAGGTGTAGATTATGCAACTGCTTCGTAGGACAAACAGGCTAAACTAAAAGAGCTAAGCTGCATAGGAACTTAATTATTATTATTACAAATAATACATTCAGAAACACTGACTCATTAGAGCTCTAATCGTACACTACAAATTCTGGTAGAATCTTGATGATGATGGGTGGAAAATAGCACTGAAGTGGTATGTTCTTAAACCAACAAACCCCAAGATTTTTTTTTTATTCCCCAAAATAGAAGTCACCCATAATTTCTAAAATCATAGCTATTCGATCTGCATTATTTTCATGTCTTCCTATGTCTCTCACTAGTATGTCAGCATAATGAATTATTCAATTATTGGTATTCCGGAGATGCGTGAGGTTTTGTACTGCCCTAACATAAAGATATGAACGTTCATTTTTCAGAAACATATCTTTATACCACAAAGCCCAATTATAAACTGCCAACACCAGAACGCATTCATTTCCAAAGCTGCTGTGGATGTGAAATGAACACTTATTTCACACTTTCTGCTCACGTGCAGCTCATTAGAAGCCTGCCAAAACGGTGGTTCCTATGACAGGAGAAAAAAAAAAAGCATTGCTCACTTAATATAAAAAAATAAAATGTTTTTCAATTGGTATTCAACCTTCTCCTCTATCAGAAACAGCACATATGCCACATTATTCTATAAACAAGCCCTTGAGCAGCAGATTTTGTAACTCTGAATAACTCGTGTGACTGTTTCTAAAATGTTTATAAACACTGTATGCCGGAGATGGCATAGTTCAGACAGATAATTCACGTTGTTGATTGTACAGTGTGTTAGCAACCTTCATTCTGTAGGACAGTAGCTCTCATAATGTGAAATCATAATCCATGTAGTGAAAGTCTGCTATTGTTATAATCAGGTTTCAAGGCTCTGAATCAAGCAATCTACCAACAAAGCTGTGCTATACTACCACAATTGCAGAGGGGAAAGGGAGATTATCAAGGCCATCACACCACTTGCAAGAATATTAACTAGAGGTACATGTTTAGAAAAGCATGTAAAAGTGCATGACCTCTCTTTTACTCCTTAGAGTAGTCTGTCTCTATACAGCAGACATGTCAAACACAAGGCCCGGGGGTGGATGTGGCCCACAAGTAGTTTCATGTGACCCGCCACGCCATCCTGGAAACAGTGAGTGAACGGCCCCCGCTGCCTTGGCCCTGGCCCAGGCCAGCCAGCCAGGAGCCAATGTACAATTTTGTGGTGGCCCTCTATGCTGAAACTCATTCAGTCTCCCTCTGACTTTGCCCTGGTACCCATCATGAGCAACCTGGCCAAGGACAGCAGTCACAGCAGTAGCAGCCTTGAGGAAGAGATAAGTGCAGCTGGGCGCCCCCTTGGGAAAGTGGGGCTGGGCTTGGTGCCGCGGGTGCTCGAGGGCCAGGTTGGGCTTTTGACCTCTGCTGCCCAGGGCTCCAGGCAGCCTGCACAACCATCCAGGCCCTCCATGGCCTGAGAGGAACAACGAGGCTCCTCCAGTGGACCATGCCTTGACACTTGCCCCGGTCCCACCCCCTTCTGCCAGAGACCCTCAGATCTGTCCCACTCCTGCCCAGGCACCCACAGGCACCATTGATGTGAACGATGTAGAGCTGGCCATGCCCACCCAGCAGGCCACACCCACCCTGGCCGCACACACAAAGCCCCCGAGGGCAACTGCAATGCTGATGCGGCCCTCAATGAAATTGAGTTTGACACCCCTGCTATACAGGCTCCCTCAGAAGGCAGAAAAATAGAGGTGGCTGTTTTAAAAATCATATTAAATTTAATGAGTTGGCTCAATAAAGCGGCCAGATGTTTCTTTCTAGCTCACAAAGCATGCTGTGTTAATGAAGATGTACACGCAATTCAGCCTTCCAGAAACCCTTAGAAACATATTCAGACAGAACTGATAAGCCTTTTTCGGGAAGCTCTTTCTATATTCTTTCTTTGCTCTCTCTTTTTCCGCTCACTGTTCATTTTTCTTGCCTTCTTTATGACACCTTTTGGCTCCTGCTTTGTGCCAAAAATTTGTTGGCTTTTATTTGTCCTAAATGTTATCTGGCACTAGTAACTTATCATTTTGAAGGACAAACAAACAGACCATTTTAAGATTAAGACAGCCGTTCATTGCCAAAAGACTGATATAGTTTCTGATTACTGAAAGAATAAGCATAAATAGTGCACTAATTCCTTTTTCTACATTAGCTCTCGTTTATGATAAACCCTAATGGGACTTTAGAATACCCTGAATGAATCCAAGTGTTCATGCAGAGGGCTAGAAATAAGCAGCATCAGAATCACGAATAAACGCAAGTTTCATTTGTCAATCACACAAATAATTGCTACCTTTTATTATCTCATTTTACTAGCCTTGCATGCCACTTTAATCGTAACAGACTCTGTGCGGCGTATGCACCTATGATGTAAGGTTAAAATATACACTAAAATGACAGAAGAAACAATTCATTATTCTATGCCAGGTAACAAATTCAATTCAAACAGACTGAATTTCAAGGCAGAGCACTTCATAACACATCTCTCTCAAAGTCTGCTGGAAGACCACTTAAACTGCGACCCATATGGATCTCAGGGGATCTAAACTGAGACCCATATGGATCTCAGGGGAATATTGTTAGAAAGAAAAGAGAAGCCATTGAAAAGGTTTACCTAAGATTCCAGGTCAGGGGTGTCAAACTGCTGGCCCATGGGCCAGATGCGTCATGACGAAACCGCACCCACCCCATTGCCGGCAATGGGGAAAAAGTCGCAATACATTGCGACACGTCACGTGACATTGCAAGTTTGACACCCCTGTTCCAGGCGATTGATCCTGAGTGGAAGGACTGGAGGGAGCCTCTTGCACCTGATCTTATCAGAATCACCTGTGTGATCAGATGTTCACGTAGGTGATTAAACTGGGCATCATTAGGATACTAACGATATCGGCTCCTGGGACCCTGGATCACATCCTTAGCAGTTTCTTATAGATGTTGAAAAGGAATGGGGAGAACATCAAACCCTATGGCATCCCATAAGCCAGTGGCGTATGGTATAACTTCTCCCCTCCTCCTGATACCATTAGGAATTTCTCTTCAGAAGGAGAACTATCATAATAATAGCCCTCTGTCTCCAATCCTCAGAAACACTCCAGGATACCATGGCTGTTGGCATGGAAAGCCACTAACTTGATAAGCAAAGCCAGGAGGATCATGCTTCCTCCATCTTGATCGACTTAAAGGTCATCCATGAGCCTAACCAATGTAGTCTTGGTCCCACACCAAGGATCCAGCTGGTGCTCACTTGTTCATTTTCTTCCAGCTCCAACTCAACCATCTTCTTTACAGCCTTCACCCAATGGGGGAGGCTGGAGATAACCGTCTAACTGCAGTGTCAGCTGATGGTTTGAGAAAGCACAATATTGCCTTCTTTAGGCAGATGGTACTATCCCCTCATTTAAGGATGTTATTTACCATTGCTCTAGCCCAGAGGTGTCAAACTCGCAACGTCAGGTGATATGTCGAGACGTATCTTGACTTTTTTGCCATTGTTGGCAATGGGGTGGGCGCAGTTTCGCTATGATGTATCCGGCCCGCGGGCCGGCAGTTTGACACCCCTGCTCCAGCCCAGTCTTCTGTCACGTCTCTAGAGATTGTCACCAACCAGGAAGAGAAAGGATCCAGGCTACAAGTTGTTGAGCTGATGTCATACATACCCGGTCACACCCAAACAGAAACTGGTCCAAACTCAACCCAGATAAAGCTGAGAGATAAGAGATTCAATCGTCTCTACAGAACTTGCCTTGCTGGCATCAGTTCTGAGCAAATTTGAGTAATCTTATCTTTTCTTATCAAAAATTCTCAAAGGGCCCTATAATGTTCTAGTCCAGGGGTAGGCAACCTTGGCTCTTTTATGACTCGTGGACTTCAACTCCCAGAATTCTGGCTGGCTCAGGAATTCTGGGAGTTGAAGTCCACGAGTCATAAAAGAGCCAAGGGTGCTTACCCCTGTTCTAGTCTATCCTTCCCTCAAAGGGATACCTGGTGACAATCAGACAATGAGATAACAGCAAAGAAATACTGGTAATTGGCTGTTTTTGCTTATCATCAAGGACTTCCCTGGATTGATGAGCAGAAAGGGGCTGCTCAGATTCAATTCTAATCCTCAGGAAATACCTCTAGTGCTCTTCGGAAACCTAGTGGTCCCATCAGGCACCTGGGGCAAATTGACTGATTAGCAAATGGGATTAGTATTTAAAGTATGGTCTATGACTAGAGCAGTGTTCCTCAACCTTGGCAAGTGCATGGACTTCATATTCTATTCCCCAGCCAGAACTATGGGAATTGAAGTCCACACTTCTTAAAGTTGTTAAGGCTAAGAAACACTGGAGTAGAGACCCAGGTTCAAATCCATCCACAGCCATGGTGTGGATGACTTTGGGTCAGTTGCCCTTTCTCAACCTAATCTACCTCAAAAATGTGTTATTGTAAGCATTCCTATATAAGCTACTTTGAGACTGGGGAAGAAAGCCACACATAAATCTAGCACAAATATTTCTCAATGTTTTCTGATCTCACCATTACATCATTCCTGACCATTGAACTACCAGTATGATGCATCTATTTTCTGATACGTACAAGATTTCAATTTAAAACTGCTTAGTAGAACAATTTTCACATCACCGTGGGTCATAAACCCAACGGCACAGCAATCACGGGCCCTTAAGGGAATGTATTAACCTAGTTAAATGATAATTCCTTAGAACCATTTTAGGAAGTGCATAATGAATTAAATATGCCCCCTCCGGCAGCACTAACAGCACAGAAGTACTGCTGCTGATTTAGAACAACTGCTATCATTAGTTTTGAATTTCCAAACTTATCTAGCGGTTCTATACATCCATCAAAATTAACCAGCCCAAGCTCTTTAATTAAGGGAAAGCGCCATACTCAAAGCTGAGTGATATTTGCTGGAAACACAATGGATTCCTCATTCCAATCTGTGTTTTAACTGCAAATCCATTCTGGGCACCATAAATACTTTAAAAAAACTACATTCATCCTATTATTTAAAGTAAAAGCTTCCTCTATGTCCAGGTGCTAGAGGGTCAATTCACGTAAATAAATAATATGTCATGAAGATAGTGGCTGAAGCCAACTGAAGCATCCTGACATGTGTCAATGTGCCCTCAGCTTCCCACAGCCTGATTTTAGCAAAACTATAACCTTAGTACAAAGGTTACATTTAGAAGCAATATTGAAATACGTCTCTACATCAAACAAAAGATACAGAAAAACTGGATTTGGGCTAAGCTTTACACAAGCTTATGAAACACAGTATCAAGGCAATTAAAAGCAACTCCTTCCAGACATAACAAAGGTGATAAAAAACAAATCTAAATGACCATCGCTGTTTCTATTTCTTCTCCAAATGCCAAACAATTGAAACTATATGGTTTCTTAAAGCTTCTGTTGCAATTTAGCAATGCTTTATATAAGTAGATACCCAAGAGTTATCAATCCAATTTCTCACTGTAATAACCGAGGCAAAGATGCACATAAAAATACTGCTGTGCACTCGAGTGAGGAAACATGTTTCTGGTCTCCCCACCCTTGTGATTTACAGTATCTTGCTGGCCATATATGTGATCTCATCATTAGCATTACCCAAATTATTTAAAGCAAGACAATTCGGTTTAATTCAGATTGTGAACATGCTTTTCCCCATTTTCCCAAACTGATCGACAGTCTGTCATTCTATAATTTCTGGCAGATCAAGATCTGCTTGAAGCATGGTTTGCCTTGGCTTAGCAGTCAAGCTTTTTATCAGCGTAGTACATTTGAAAATCAAAACCCTCTTGTTTTATATCAGTGTTCCCAACAGAAAGATAGCCTGTCAAATTTCCAGACTACAGGTAGTCCTCGACTTACAACCACCACTGAGTCCAAAACTTCTGTTAAGTGAGACATTTGTTGAGTGAGTCTTGCCCATTTTACAACCTGTTTTGCCACAGTTGTTAAGTGAATCACGGCAGTTGATAAGTTAGTAACCTGGTAGATGAGTTAGTAACCTGGTTGACTTTGCTTGTCAGAAGGTTGCCAAAGGGGATCACATGATCTTGGGACACTGCAACCATCATAAACATGAGTCAGTTGCCAAGCATCTGAATTTTGATCACATAATCACGGGGATGCGGCAAAGGCCGTAACTGTGAAAAACAGTCATGTCACTTTTTTCAGTGCCATTGTAACTTTGAACTGTTACAAGTCGAGGATTACCTGTATTAGCCATTAGCTCAAAACTTACTGTAAAATAGTAGTAATAAAGATAACTAGACTATGCCAGAATAATATAATTAGATCTACAACTAGAAATACCATACTGAAAAATATCTTATGCAACTAGAAATACCATACTGAAAAATATCTTATGCAACTAGAAATACCATACTGAAAAATATCTTACGCAAAAATACCTAATTTTTTTTTTGAATCAGCAATTCAGTCAGCTCAATGTTGCCTACTGTCTATATCAATTATCTCATGTCAGAGAATTACCAAGCATAAGTGTGCCCATCCCTTAATACATCATTTTATATAGCAAGGAAAGGAATCCCTGTGGATTTTACTTCACTAGTTGTTGCTAACTATTGGGGGGGGGAGGGGAAACTCATTTCCAATTCAAGCTGTGAACCAGCACTAAGGATGTTTCTGTGATCAATCTGGCCAGCATGTAGGAATATGTAAAACAATTTTGTAGCCAGGAAATAATTTTAGTTAAAACAGCTATAGGAATGGATTTCCACTACCTTCTTTTCAGCAATTGTTATACATTATTGGATTTCACATCTAATACAGCAAAAGGCCACATAGGAATTTTAAGACGTAAACATGGTGTAATTACCTAGAACCACCAATAAGGAAAGAGGCATAATCATCATGTCTCATCTCAGTTTATATCACTGGTTTGGTATTTGATAGCAGGAAGTCAAACCAGTTTTTAAAAATCTGAACTGGTGTTGAACTTGATTCATAGCTTCATCCTCCTCAATGAACCAGAATCCAAACCCCCCAAAATGATCTCAGTTCCTTGTTTTGAAATGCTGCTGGTGCAATGCCCTACTACAAGGACATGAATCATACACCAAAGCCACATTTCACGTTCCTACCAAAGGTAAGTACAGGTGGTAAAGTCAGCTCCAACTCTCCTCAAAGACAACAAAGACACTTAAAAGAATACACTAAGCCACATACTTACCCATCTCTTCCTTTACTAACTATCTTCACTTCAAAATAATAAATTCCACAGGCTGCAGGGATGGGGTGGGTAGCCCTGACAGAAGCAGCATCCTTGTGATTTTTCCCATGTCCTGTTTTAAACAAACATAAGGGGAAGGGGAAGGAGGAAACAGGCAGGAGATGGGTCTTTAATTCTTCAGTAAAAACAATCATGCAGCAAAGGTTTTCAAGAGCCAGCCAGCCAAGCCACAAGGAAGCCCACAACCAAATACAGTCCCTTACAGATAAAACAACAGGTGCTCCAACACATTAGCAAGCAAGACATGGCATTGGAGATGCATAGCTGATCTTCTTCTGGTACTGTCCCAGAGACTCACAGCCCATCCTTCAGGGTGAAAGTATACAGCGTTGGGGCAGCCTTTCTCAACCTCGGCTGATGGTTTTAGCCATCTTCAACTTGTTGAGGTTGAGAAATATTGCCCAAAGTATCCTTTACTTTGCGAGTCCCCTGGACTGCAAGGCGATCAAACCGGTCTGTCCTAGAGGAGATCAACCCTAACTTCTCTTTAGAAGGCCAGATCCTGAAGTTGAAACTCAAGTACTTTGGCCACCTAATGAGAAGCAAGGACTCCCTGTAGAAGAACCTAATGCTGGAAAAGGTTGAGGGCAAGAGAAGAAGGGCACGACAGAGCAGGAGGTGGCTGGATGGAGTCCCTGAAGCAGGAGGAGTGAGCTTAAATGGACTCCAGAAGATGGTAGAGGACAGGAAGACCTGGAGGAACGTTGTCCATGGGGTCGCGATGAGTCGGACACGACTTCGCAACGAACAACACCCTTCACTTCAAAGGATGGGGCTGTGGGTCTCTCTCTCTCTCTCTCTCTCTCTCTCTCTCTCTCTGGGACCACCCAAGAATAACAGCAGTGTGTTTCTGTTGCTCTCTCCTGTGCCCTCAGCAGGGGTCCTCAACCTTGGCCATTTTAAGACTTGCGGACTTCAACTCCCAGAATTCCTCAGCCAGCTTTGCTGGCTGAGGAATTCTGGGAGTTGAAGTCTGCAAGTCTTCAAGTGGCCAAGGTTGAGGACCCCTGCCCTAGGAGACTTCAAATCCCAGGACTGCCCCAGCCAAAATGCAGGGGTTCTGAAGTCCAGACGCTTTCAAGCTGCCGAGGGGGAGAAGAACCCCTTGCGTTGGGGTAACCCCCACCCACCCATCCCACCCCAGGGGACAAGCCAAAAGGCTGCTCTACCAGCCCCCAAAGCCGCTCCCTGTCCTGGGGCAAAGCCCGACAGCCCCCGCTGGCAGCCATAAGGAGCCGGGCAAAGGCTCTCTCTCTCTGCCTCCCCCCAAAGAAGCCCCTAAGCCTGGGAACTCTGCCCTACCTCCCCAGCGGGGAGCCAGGCCTCCTCCCAGGCGGGACCCCCCTGAAATCCGGGCTGCCCAATCCTGCCCACAGCCCCTCGCCCCTTCTGAGGGGGGCGCCCCTCCGCCGGAGGAAGGCTCCCCTGCCCGCCCCTCGGCCCCTCAGTCCCCCCAGGCGGCCACCGGGCCTCCCCCACCTTTGTAGTGGACGCGCAGGTTGCTCTGGGAGAGGCCGATGTAGCTGTACTTGTCCTTGGGGCTCCAGGCGCGCGGCAGCGGCGTCTCGTCCGGGTTGACGGCCGGGTAGAGGCGGCGGAGGCGCTGGCTCAGCTCCTGCTCCTCCGGCGGCGGAGGCGGCGGGGGAGGCGGCGGCGGCGGCGGCGACAGCGCCGGGTCTCCCCCAGGTAAGCTCGCTGCACCCGCATCCGCCATCTTGGATCCACTATTGTGTCAGCGGGAGGGGAGCGGGCTCCCTTTCCCCGGCCGTCCAATGGGAGGCGGGCTCGGCCACAATGGAGGCGCGCGGCATGACGGGAAGGCGAGTCCGGCTTCCGGTCCAGAGCTAAGCCGGCTCCAGGCGCCGAAGACTACAAGTCCCAAGAAAGGCCGCGAGGGGGAGCCCGCCCCACTCGATGGCGTCGCAAAGGCCTTCGGGATAGCGAGTAAGAGGGGGCGTAGGAAAGGTAGACGGGGAGCGGAACGTTCGGGGCGCGTTCCTTAGCAAATCAAACCACGCAAACGACGCCTGGGTGAACTATTTGGGCGATGAGGAAGCGGGAGAGAGGCGGTGGCGTGGCTAAAGTGACAGGGTTTCCCGTTTAAGTACGGGGTTGGACTAGAAGACCTCCAAGGTCCCTTCCAAGCCTATTCTTCCATGTTCTTTAAAACAAAAAACAAAAACAACCCATCGCACAATTAGCTGCAAATCAGCTGCGGCCAGGGAAACAAGCTAGCGAGACCCCCGAAGACAACGTTTACCCTATTCCCGTCCCGCGCAATAGCGACATTCCTTCTAAAACACAGGCTTTCTGTGGAAGGCCGCCGCCGCCGCCCCTCCCTCCTTGCAACGCTGCAATTTGCAGAAGGTAAAGAAAAGAAACCATTCCGAGATGCGATTCGGCGGTTCTCCAAGTTGGCGCGCCTTAAGCCTTCCAGCTTTCCTCGAAGGATTCGCGGCACGGCCAGTGAAGGCGCCTAACCCCCTTTTCCCACGATAAAAACCTAACTATCCGTCGCGCAAAGCATCCCAGCCCCCCCGTCCTCCCCTCCCGGTCCAAAGAAGCCGCCCTGCTCCGAAGATGCCCGGGATTCTCGCGAAAAGAACCCGCGGCGAACAACTGGCCCGCGCGCTACCGCGGGACGCCTCTAGAGGGCGCGGCAGCCTCGCTCAAGCCGCGAGGGGCGGGGCCTGTTGCCGTGGCGACCCCCGTCAACAGCCTCCGCGGCTGTTCCCCTCTCCGCGGCCATGCAGGCCCGCCCCTCCATTTGTATCGGGTGAGTCCGCTTCGAGGGGCGCTGGAAGTGGGAAGAAGAGACCGAGAGCCCCGTCCGGGTTGGAAACAGGGAGCGGCCCCGTTTCCTTTGCGCCGGGCTGGTTTCTTCAGCGGTCGGTCCTTGAAGGGGTTTGGGCTTCCGGCTTTGCCGCCTTGTCGGCGCCGAGACTGAACTACAACTCCCAGCACTCCCCCGTCCGTGAAGGGCCGGCTTGCCCTTTTATCTGCCGGCCAGCCAGGACGGGTTGTGCGAGCCCCGCCCCTACGGTGACCTCACCGCGCAAGCCCTCCCCTCTGACGTCGTTGCAGGGGACACCGCCCCGTGGGTGGAGCCGTGGCGGGTGTCTCGTTCCTGATTTGCTGGCGGAAAAAGCCGCCCCGCCCCCACCATGTCGGTCTGTTTTCTTGCGGGGAATTCAAATCGCAGCTGGAGGGAGAGTTGATTGGCTGCAAGCTGTTGCTGATGAGGATCAGCTTTTTATTAGCCAGGCCATCATTAAAAGAGTCCTGGTTTGTTTAGTTTGCATTGTTGAATTGGAGCTTTTAAAAAGAAAGCTCCTGGGGAAATTAGTTTTATATATCTATCCCTCTTAATATTCTAGGTCTGATGGTCCAGAAGCCGATAAAAGGTAACTGCAATGAAGAGGACATTAATTCTATAGTTACACTTTTAATTTCCGTAATTATCAACAGGATAACCCTTGATTGGATGGCTTGGTGACAAAAGGTATGGTTGCCTAGTCAGGGGTAGGCAACCTTGGCTCTTTTATGACTCGTGGGCTTCAACTCCCAGAATTCCTCAGCCAGCATGGCTAGCTCAGGAATTCTGGGAGTTGAAGTCCACGAGTCATAAAAGAGCCAAGGTTGCCTACCCCTGGCCTAGTTCATTTGGAGATTCAGCTGTAGGGAAGCAATCTTAGAAATAGATTCCAAGCTCTCCTAAAAAAAGTTTCTCTTGCCACATAGATGGGGCATCGAACTGAACCTGCTAAATATCTGTTCTACTCTGTAAAAAAAAAAAATCTGTTCTACTCTGTAAAAAAAAAAATCAGCATTTGTTAAAAAAAAACACCTCTTTTTCTTGTAAAAAAAATTCTCAACAATTTTAATGGAAATTGAATTATATACATATTCCTATATATAAACCGTTTGCATTTTTTATGCCGCTTGATCAAGATAGGGGAAAAAAGCAAAATAAAAAGGAAATTTACATACTCCCATTTAAAAATAAACTGCCTTAGACAAAGATGAGGAAGAAGGGTTGTACAAAAGGCAATTTATGTTGCTACCTACGGAAAAGCCCTGGGCAGCAGCTGGGCCGGTTAGAAAAAGTTGGAAATTAAAAAGATGTTTAAGTCAGCTGCAGTGGGGATAAACTTGGGTCACCTTGTACAGATACTCCTCGACTTATGACCACAACTGAGCCCAAAATTTCTGTTGTCGGCGAGATAATTGCTAAGTGAATTTTGCCCCATTTTACAACCTGTCTTGCCACAGTGGTTAAGTGAATCGCTGCTTTATTAAGTTAGTAACACGGCCGTTAAGTGAATATGATTTTCTCATTGACTTTGCTTGTCAGAAGGCTCCAAAAGGGGGGTCACGTGACCCCGGGACAGTGCAACTGTCATAAATGTGAGTCAGTCGCCAAGCATCCGAATTTTGATCAGACCATCGGAATGCTGCAACGGACATAAGTATGAAAAATGGTCATTAAGTCCCTTTTTCAGTGATGTTGCAACTTTGAACGGTCACTAAATGAACTGTTGTAAGTCGAGGATTATCTGAGTGTTTGGGCACTGAAAAGAGGGGTGTGAATTGGGATTGGAGAACCTGTGCAACTCGATCTCCCACTGATCATGAGTTCTCCAACTCCTGTTCTTGCTGTACCGCAGGGTCTCATTTCATCGATTTTCTCAAAGTGCAACTGGTAAAAACTTGCCTGTGGTAAAGGTCTCCTCTCAGAAGAAACAGAAGTATGTGGTGAGTAGCTCTAGCTCAGCTAGCCCACCTTTTCACTTTTGCAGAGGCCAATATTCGTCCCAACATCTGTTTGCATCATTCTGTGGCCTAACCCAGCAGGTTTCAGCATCAGATACTCAGGCCTTGGAAACCACGTGGTAAATCTTGAGTATTGTGGGCCTTTACCATGACAAAAATGAAGATGCCCTCTTCAAAAGCAAATGCTGAGAGGCGGTAGCAAATGTTGGAGTAGACCAGGGGTCTTCAAACTTGACTCTTTTATGACTTGTGGACTTCAGCTCCCAGAATTCCTCAAGCAGCGATGCTGGCTGAGGAATTCCGGAAGTTGAAGTCCACAAGTCATAAAAGGGCCAAGTGTGAAGACCTCTGGAGTAGACCAATATTACACAATTATTATTATTATTATTATTATTATTACTATTATTATTATAACATTCCTCCAGGTCTTCCTGTCCTCTACCATCTTCTGGAGTCCATTTAAGTTCACGTCTACTGCTTCAGTGGCTCCATCCAGCCACCTCCTTCTCTGTCGTCCCCTTCTTCTATTGCCCTTCATCTTTCCCAGCATCAGGCTCTTCTCCAGTGAGTCCTTCCTTCTCATTAGGTGGCCAAAGTATTTGAGTTTCAACTTCAGGATCTGGCTTTCCAAAGAGCAGTCGGGGTTGATCTCTTCTAGGTCTGACCAGTTTGATCGCCTTGCAGTCCAGGGGATTCGCAGGACTCTTCTCCGGCACCAGAGTTCAAAGGCCTCAAAGTGGCATATATAGATACAAATGAGGAAATAACCTCATAGGTGAATGGCCTGTTTTCATCCTCCCCAGGTCCAATCGAGTAGCAGCCACTTGTCCACCTGGCCAGCCTATGAACCAGGCCAAGGGATCCTTCAGAACCGAAAACCGTGCACTCTCCCTGATTGGCAAAGGTAGGTCTGGATATGGCATTGAGATGTCAAGTTTCTGGACTTGCAAAAAAAAAAAAAGCCAGGAAATTTTGGGTTCAAATAAACAGTAGTTGCCGGCTTTCCCATTATTATCCCTTCTCCTTTCTTGAAAAACGGCTGCCCAACGTTAACATCAATGGCCTCTTTTACCCCTCTTTCAAACCGATGGTCCTCTCTGGACTTGACTTTGCATTTGAGAATTTGTCTTTCGACTGCTACGTCTGCCGTGGCGGCTTTGTGGGTTATCTTTCCGCAAGTGGCCTTTGCCATCGTGGCAGTAATGAAATAACGTTCAACCTGGGCAAAGTAGAACGTCCCAGCCAATGCTAATAATATTCTGCCTTTCAGCGCCAACAAACCGCTCATGCCAATTTCGAAGCCACGTTACCTTGAAGAGCTGGAGTCTTACTTGCGGACCGAGTTGCAAATGCTCGACTTGACTAAAGGAAAAGTTCAGGAACTTAGGCTGCAGGTTAGAGAAGTGTCATTCTGCAGGGAATGCCGGAAGCCTTAAATCTTGGGGCTCGGGGATCCACAATCGGCCCATGGAATATCTTTGACCATCGTTGCGAAACCTAAGCACGGCTTTTTTGCTCTGACCAGGAAAGGAGAGAACTAGGAAAAATAGAAATTCAAACTTTTTTTAATGGCTAGGACATGGCCACATACCCTTCTGAATCCCTGACACGAATTCAAGCTCCTAAGGATCCAATGTGTTTCTTATTAGGTTTTTATCCCGCCTTTATTTTATAAGTAACTCCAGATGATGAACGAACATAATACTTCTCCCTCTTTTTATTTGCCCCCTAACAACAGAGCTGTGAGATGGATTGGGGTGTGAGAGAGTGACTGGCCCAAAGTCACTCAGTCGCTTCCATGCCTAAGGCAGGACTAGAACTCACCATCTCCTAGTGATTGGCCCAAACTCACCCAATTGGCTTTCATGCCTAAGGTGGGACTAGAACTCACTGTCTACTGGTTTTGTAACCCAGCACCTTAATCACTACACCAAACTGGCTTTCAAGGCAATGCCTATCCCAGCTTAATTGATTTAACCAAGAATCTCTTTAAAGGCAAAAGAGGCAGATCCAGAATCCCACTGTGGTGTGAACAGAACAACACTATTAAGGCAGTGTTTCTCAAAGTTTGC